GCTTCTCCACCTTCCGTTTGAGGATGCCCCACAGATGCTCAATATGGTTTAGGTCTGAAGACATGCTTGGCCAGTCCGTCAACTTTACCCTCAGCTTCTTTAGCAAGGCAGTGGTTGACTTGGAGGTGTGTTTGGGGTCGTTATCATGTTGAAATACTGCCCTGCAGCCCAAGTCTCCGAAGGGAGGGGATCATGTTCTACTTTAGTATGTCACAGTACATGTTGGCATTCATGGTTCCCTCAATGAACTGTAGCTCCACATTGCTGGCAGCACACATGCAGCCCCAGACCATGACCCTCCAACTACCATGCTTGACTGTAGGCAAGACACACTTGTCTTTGTATTCCTCACCTGGTTGCCGCCACTCACGCTTGACACCATCTGAACCAAATATGTTTATCTTGGTCTCATCAGACCACAGGACATGGTTCCAGTAATCCATGTCCTTAGTCTGCTTGTCTTCAGCAAACTGTTTGCTGCCTTTCTTGTGCATCATCTTTAGAAGAGGCTTCCTTCTGGGACAACAATCATGCAGACCAATTTGATGCAGTGTGCGGCGTATGGTCGGAGCACTGACAGGCTGACCCCCCACCCCTTCAACCTCTGCAGCAATGCTGGCAGCACTCATATGTCTATTTCCCAAAGACAACCTCTGCATATGACGCTGAACATGTGTACTCAACTCCTTTGGTCGACCATGGCGAGGCCTGTCCTGAGTGGAACCTGTCCTGTTAAACCGCTGTATGGTCTTGGCCACCATGCTGCAGCTCAGTTTCAGGGTCTTGGCAATCTTCTTATAGCCTAGGCCATCTTTATGTAGAGCAACAATTCTTTTTTTCAGATCCTCAGAGAGTTTTTTTGCCATGAGGTTCCATGTTGAACTTCCAGTGGCCAGTATGAGAGAGTGATAACACCAAATTTAACACACCTGCTCCCCTTTTGACACTAGCGAATCACATGACACTGGAGAGGGAAAATGGCTAATTGGACCCAATTTGGACATTTTTACTTAGGGGTGTACTCACTTTTGTTGCCAGTGGTTTAGACATTAATGGCTGTGTGTTGAGTTATTTTGAGGGGACAGCAAATTTACACAGTTATACAAGCTGTACACTCACTACTTTACATTGTAGCAAAGTGTCATTTCTTCAGTGTTGTCACATGAAAAGAAATAATAAAATATTACAAAAGTGTGAGGGGTGTACTCACTTCTGTGAGATAGTATGTGTGTGTGTGTGTGTATATATATATATATATATATATATATATATATATATATATATATATATATATATATATAAAATATGAAAAACACTTTATCAAAGTGGTTGTAAAGGCTCAAGGTTTTTTAGCTTCATGCATTCTATGCATAAAGGTGAAAAATCTTCTGTGTGCAGCAGAGCCCCCCCCCCCCCCCCCCAACTTACCTGAGCCCCATTCTGATCCAGCAGTGTGCACGAGAGCCTTGACTCTCCCAGGTCTCTCCCTCCTCATTGGCTGAGACAGCAGCGGTAGCCATCAATCACAGCCAGTGAACCAATGAGGAGAGAGTGAAAGCTGTGCTCTGTGTGTTATTGGACACAGAGCACTGGCTCAGGATGCCGCCAGTAGGGCTGAAACAACTAATCAACCGCTGTCAACTATTTTCATGATCGATTAATTGGTCAGCCAATTAGTTGGCCTGCAAACAGAATGCATTATTTGATTACATATGAGAAAAATACCGTGCAGCACACATACAACTCAGTACACTGCCCATACATGTCAGTAAGTGCCTGATCTTGTGAATGTGAGGAGCAATGCCTCATGTGACTTGTAGTCCTGCGCAGTAGAAGGCAGTGATAAAGGCAGAAGTTTTTTTTTAACCTTGATTTAGGGGCACTCTATACTGTACTTTGCGGCTTGCTCTGGTGGTATTCTGAAGGCAGGAGGAGCCAGAGGAGTTGGTGGAGGACCCTCAGAAGAGTAGAATCGGGGCTGCTCTGTGCAAAACCATTACACAGAGCAGGTAAGTATGACAAGTTTGTTGTTCAAAAAAAACGTTTAGGCTACTTTCACACTGATCTGTGGCAAAAACGCATATGTGCTTTTGCAGCGCTTTTGCCATGTTTTTACATTTGTGGTGCGTTTTTTTAAGAGACATGTGACTCAAAAATCTGCACTAAAAATGCATCGGAGGTGAGTTTTTTATGCATTTTTTTGTCACATTTTCTATTGATTTCAATAGGGAGGTGATTCTTTTGGTGCGTTGTTTTTTTTTTTTTATCGCTCCAAACCTGCACTAAAAATGCAGCAAGCAGGAATTTGAAAAATCCACTGGACCAATGTGAATGAGTTTTATAGGAATAAATGGTCTAATGTTTTTCATCAGCTTTTTTAAAGAAAAAGTGGAAGAAAAACAGAACAGTGTGAAAGCAGCTTTACAATCATTTTAAGGGCCCTGTGCAGAGAAGATCAGCATCTGAGCCCAGTGAAGCTGGAGACTGATAGACTGGAGGTGGTATAGGGCATTACAATTAATTTAAAGTAAAGGTTTACCAGTAATGTGCATTATATTTAAAATGAATATATCCACGCAAAACAAATCTCAGCCTTTAGTACTACTTTAATCTAAAAGATTTGTATGCCCCTGAATCCCTTCATGTAGCTTCATGTCTGGCTCCCAGTTAAATTATTCTGTATATCCAAATTCTCTCTCTCTCTCTTATATATATATATATATATATATATATATATATATATATATATACATACACACACACACAGTTCCATATATATTTGGACACAGGCACAAAACATATTCAAGCTTAAGTTAAATCATGGATGTGGGCTGAAAGTGCACACTCTCATGTTTATTTTGAGGGTGTGTACATCCAAATTGGAAGGGTTTAGGAATTACAGCTCTTAAGAGTACCCATCCCCACTTTTTCAAGGGACCAAAAGTAATTGGACAATTGAATATAATCTTAAATAAAATGTTCATTTTTAATATTTTATTGAGAATCCTTTACTGGCAATGACTGCCTGAAGTCTGGAACCCATGGATTACATTACCAAAGACTGGGTTTCCTCCTTTCTGATGCTTTGCCATGCTCTAACTGCAGCTGTCTTTAGTTGTTTGTGGGTCTTTCTGCCTTTAGCTTTGCCTTCAGCAAGTGAAATGCATTGTCATTTGGGTTGAGATCAGGTGATTGATTCGGCCATTGCAGAATATTCCACTTCTTTTCTTTCAAAAGTTCTTGGGTGGCTTTTGCAGTGTGTTTTGGATCATTGTCCATCTGAACATCGTCCAATCAACTTTGCTGCATTTGGTTGAATCCAGGCTGATAGTATATCTCTAAACACTGCAGAATTCATCCGGCTGCTTCTGTCACATCATCAATAAAACCAAAGACCCAGTGCCACTGGAAGCCATGCATGCCCATGCCATCACACTGTCTCCACCATGTTTTAAAGATGACGTTGTGTACTTTGGATCATGAGCTGTTCCAAGTCTTCTCCACACTTTTTCCTTCCTGTCATTCTGGTACAGATTCATCTTAGTTTCATCCAACTAAAGAATGCTTTTCCAGAACTGCTCTGGCTTTTTTAGATGTTTTTTGGCAAAGTTTAATCTGGCTTTTCTGTTCTTCAGGCTTATGAATGGTTTGTACCTAGTGGTGAGCCCTCTGTATTTGCTCTCGTGAAGTCTTCTCTTGATTGTAGACTTTGACAATGATACGCCCACCTCCTGGAGAGTTTCCTTCACTTGTCTGGATGTTGTGAATGGGTTTTTCTTTACCATAGAGAGGATCCTGCGATCATCCACCACTGTTGTCTTCCGTGGACATCCATTCCTTTTTATGTTGCTGAGCTCACCAGTGCGTTCTTCTTTCTTCAGGATGTACCACACTGTTGATCTGGCCACTCCTAATGTTGCTGCTATCTCTCTGATGGATTCATTTTGTTTTTGAAGCCTTTCAATGGCCTGTTTCACTTGCATGGACAGCTCCTTTGAACACATGATGTAGGTTCACTGCAATAGATTCCAAATGCAAATGCCACACTTAGAATTAACTCCAGACCCTTTTTACCTGCTTACCTGATGAAGAAATAACGAAGGAGTAGCCCACACCTGGCCATGAAACAGCTTTTGATTCAGTTGTCCAATTACTTTTGGACTCTTGAAAAAGGGGGGATGGCTACTCTTAAGAGCTGTAATTCCTAAACCCTTCCTCCAATTTGGATGTAAATACCCTCAAATTACACCTGAGAGTGTGCACTTTCAGCCCATATCCATTGTATAACTATAGCTTGAATATGTTTTGGGGAATACCTGAAAAAAACTAAAATTGTGCCTGTGTCCAAATATATATGGACCTAACTGTACATCTTTTCTGTCTGTTATTCTCGGAGTGGATTAAATAGTTTGTTCCCTAAACATATAGCTAGGTATTTATATTTACCACTGCATATAGATCTTCAAGAATAAATTGTCTTTTTTTTAAACATTACATATTGACAAAATTATACACCATATGCTTTTTGAGGTTTTTATCCGATTAATCGAAACAATAATCTGCAAACTAGTCGATTATGAAAATAATTATTGGCAGCCGTAGTCCCCATAGCAAGCTGCTTGTTATATGGGTACATTAGGCAGGAGGGAGGGGCCTGGAGCGCCAGAGGATCAGGACTACTCTGTGCAAAACCACTGCATAGAGCAGGTAAGTATGACATGTTTGTAATTAAAAAGCAAAAAAACAAGCCTTTAATATCATTGTAAGTTAAACTCTGAAGTAAATGCAGAACCAAAATAGGTATTTCAGTTCAAGTCACAAAGGCATTTCTATTTTTGCAGAGGCAGTGCTTGTATTATATAACTGCAGAAAACAAATGTCAGCTAAATGACCCAGCTATGTGATTCCTAGCAATTAGTATAAAACGTCTACAGTTATAAGAAATGTGCCTAGGTAATACACAGTTTTCTATGTTTGATTATATGCTTTTTCATTATTAGCTGCACGAGAGCATCTATGGTTAGAGAAAGAAATTAAAGCACGGCAGCACTATGAGAAGCATATGGAGGAACGCAGGAAAAAACTAGAGGAACAGAGGCTCAAAGAGGAAAGAAGGCGCGCTGCTGTGGATGAGAAGCGGAGACAGAAACTGGAAGAAGAAAAAGTAGGTCACTTGGCTTGCCATGAAACTTTTTCTCAAAATTGCCTTTTTTTTGTTTGTCTGTGTTCAATACTATAAATATGACAAACACAGAAAAACAATAAAATAATCCCCACCACACACCCTACAAATAAGTAATGAGTACACACCTAATTATTGTCTAGTTTCAAAACGGAGATCTTAGTTGCATTCATTTGCAAATATATGTGAAAGCTGCATAGTTTCACTAAGGTGATTTGTTAACATTTTAAAAAGTCTGAGATAAAGCTGCTTTTGGCCTCTTGCCATGTGGTACTGATGTTTGAGCATCAGCATTTCTGGTGTAATTTGTGTCTCTTTGTCATTTTGTGTTCTGCATATTCACGTGTGCAATACATTCCAAAGGCAAATGAATGAATGTTCAAAGTAATTATGATCGTATGTGCGTATTTGTGCATACCGGTGCTATATACTAAGTGGAAAAGGAGGTTTTTCTTTTCTTTTTTTTTTTTTTTTTTTTGCTCAAGAATTCACAGCAATTGTTTATGCGCAGGCACATTGTAAACAATGGGCTGTGCTTTTTTAACTCCTTGGCGCCAGCGCCTCCTGACCCTTTAAGGGTTTCAGAAGCCAGGAGGCGAGCGGGGTTTTAGAGTCATGTGACCGCCGTGATTCACTGTCACGGTGGTCACATGATCGGGAAAGGTCCCGATCACAAGAGGAGATCGAGACCTTTCCGTGAGCACCGGACGTGTATTGGGAGAGAGCAGGGTGCGCGCTCTCAGCACGTTTTATTTAATTGCACGCAAATGTGCGCCCGCTCGGCGTCAAGGCCCAGACGCCAAGAGGCCACACATTTGTGTGCGCTCGGCGTGAAGAGGTTAAGCTGCAGTGTCCAAGAGGCCTTGGGATTGTTTCTGTATTTTACAATTGTGCTTCTTGTGCCTAATCTGTGCTTAACAGAAAATGGTATTGATGAAGGAAAATGGAATTCCAGACCCCTGCACTACTGAAGAAACACTTTTATTTAGAAAGTCGCCAAACAAGAAAACAGCTTCAAGGAAAGAGTAGCAGAGGAGTAGGATGTACCACTAACATGTTTTGCACTACACTAGTGCTTAGTCATTGGCTATGAGTAAGCGCTGGTGTTGTGCGATATGTATTAGTGGGTCCAAACTTATTTTACACCTTTCTATTGAATAGGACTAAAAATCTCTAGTTTTCAGAGATTTCAAGTAGTTCTTGTTATTTTTTTTTTTTCATATCCATTGAAGGACACTGGAAGTTATATCCTTTTGAGTTATAGTGCTGCCTACAGGAGGATTGGACCCGGCAAACAAAAAATCTGTAAGCCAGCTCAAGATAACTCTTCCTGCTACAAGCATGCCCCATTTTTTTGATAATATCTTAAGAGGATAGAAGTTTTCTTCTCAGCTTTGCTGGGCAAAGTCTAACCCATTTCCTTAGTCGTCCACCTTGTCATAGAGGTCCTTCTTTGTTTCGCTTGGTGAGGCTGATTCCCCTCGGGATCTTTTCTACAGCCACTCAAGACTTTGTGGCCAAATTCACCCACTTCTCTGCTGGTGCTGACTGCAGAGACTCTGAGTGCTATTCCATGCAAAGACAATTTCTGATCTACCTGCACCCTTAGAGGCAGCTGGGACATCGGTCGCAGTTACTGTCTTTGACTCTGATTTAGGGTCTTGATAGTCTCTCCCTAATGAAATTGTTTTTGAGTTATTGCAGTCTTCTGTCATTACCCCAGATTGGCAAGCAGCCTTTTCAGCTCTTATTGATGCAGTGTGTACTACTCGGCATTTGTATCAGCCTGCTGTCTCAAATCTTGGCTCTTTCAGTGTTCATACAGTGTTCATATACTTGCTCTTCTATCTATTCCTCTATTGGGATTGGAAACACCCAGATAGGCTCTGGAGTGTTTGCCACATTTGTTCTTATTTGGGAAAGATTTTGGTAAATTGTGTCATACGCACTGTGGATCTGCCAGTGACTCACCTTAACAAGGAATCCTCTAAAGGTAAAGGGCATCCAAGGACTCTACTGACCAACAGCTAGAATCCCTCTTTAAAACACTGTTTCAGCTGGTAGGTGTTCTTCCCTTCATCCTATTCTGGCTGTGACCTTAATTTTGCCAAACTGGTGAAATGGTCTCTCCACCGTGACAGTGTATCTTTTTTCCTGACAGAACGTGTGGAACAGATGTGTGGATTCTTGAGCTTCATATGTGATGGCCCGCTGGAAGCATCTTTGTTTGGCTCTCATTTAGGTCTGTTGTGTACAATTATACTCAGTTTTTTTACCTTAATGAATTCTCTACATTAAGGTAAAAAATCTTCTATCGTCAGCTCCCCCTTCTGCCCCACCATATAATTACCTGAGCCTGATCTCAATCCAGCGCTGTGTCCGGGAGCAGCAGCACTGCTTGCTCTCTCTAACTCTTCCTTCTCATTGGATACAATCAAATCCAGTGACGAGGGGGCAGGGCCACCATAGGAAGTGGAGCAAAGAGTGCCGGCCAGAACCCAAGAAGATGAGGATTGTGACTGCTCTATGCAAAACCATTGCCCAACTTTGTAAGGCTGTTACCTGGTTTTCTGTTCAAAGCTTTACCAGGTGAATGTCCAATCTTCTGCAGTTGGAGCTATTGGCTGTAAGGTTCCTGCAGCAGCACTCTGAACTTGGGTCCCTGATCCCAGTTGGTTTTTGGGTCTGTTGGCATCGCGCCATTTACCTAGCAGTTGCCCACCCTTATTCATTGCTTGGAGATGTCCCATGGTGTATGAATAGGAGTGCTATGTCTTGTACTGTGTGATTAGGATAATAGAAATTTTGATTTACCTCTAAATTTCATATCTTGACGTACACTACGGGACACAGGATACCCTCCCTGATTGTCCTTGTTTACTCTTTATTGCTTGTCACAAAACCGAGGACTTACAGAGTGGGTTCAGATTATAAGCTCGGTGCCCCGGGGGGGTGTCGTGTCCTCAGAAGCTTGCCAGTCTCTAATCACCTAAAGGTATAGACCTACAACACACAGTGTATAAATAAGTTGCCTGTGTCCTGTATTCTACTCTAATATATGGAATTTACAGCAAAGTCAAAATTCCTCTTTTTGTACTAACAGTAAAATCCTCTTCTTTAGTCCATTTAAGGTTACATGTCCCACCCCTTTGTATTTACAGTCATGGTCCTGGTACTGCTTGCTATAAACTGAGACATGCTTGGTAGAAAGAAGGGTTATCCTGGGTGGGCCTACATATTTTTTTTTTGTTTGCTATTGTCCAGTCCTCCTGTAAGCGACAGTATAACCCAAAATATATGATGTCCTGTGTCCCTCCAGGAACAGGATTTTAAAATCCTATTTTTATGTACCTCTTCTAACATCCTTTTGTGCTTAATACTGTGTTTCCAATAAAAAGACTTGCACAAATGTGTGTAGTAAGAACATGTCTTCATATTTCTACTGCTGAACTGTTGACCAATTTTCTTCAGGCTGTCAGCTAACTTTGCTGTGTTTTCTTTTGAAGGAACGCCATGAAGCAGTAGTGAGACGTACAATGCAAAGGAGTCAGAAGCCAAAACAGAAGAATAACAGATGGTCTTGGGGAGGCTCTCTGCACAGCAACCAAAGTATAAGTAGCTCAGGTACAGTGCTTTGCACTCTTCTTTCTGGATATTTAAAAGAGTGCCACTGTGTTTGTTTTTTCCAGCTTGGTAAGATTAGTTGAAAACTGGAGCGTGCTGTTGATTAGATGTTGCCTTGTACTTTATAGGGTATGTAGGTACGTCCCTGTAATTAAAGTGGAACTTCATTTTCTCAATCAACATTTGACTATTTTTAATCCATTGGTAAATAGATAGGAAGGTATTTACTTGCTTTTGAACTTTTTTCTTTTTTTTTTTAATTTCTTCAGTTACTCCCCAGTTTCCATGCCTAGGCAAATGATATCACACATCCCAGGATCCTTCAGGAGGGGAGGGGAGGGTTCTCAGCTCAGCCAATGCCCGAGCTAAGGGCAGATGGATTCAAGGAAGTAAATGCTACATGAATCATCTGCCCTTACCCAAGATGGCCACTGACAGAAATACCAGGGGGTATTTTTTAAAATTAATTCTCAGCAAAATAAAGCATGGAGAAATGGATGAATGGCTGAGTTTGCTTTGAATATTAACAATGAATTAAAAAGCATTTTTGGTTTGTGGTTCTCAGATGCAGTGCAGTTTCACTTTAAGGTTGCTAAATTGTTGTGATACTGTTTGCATTAAATGCTGACAATGAGGGCAAAGTTGTTGTATTAGGGATATACAAATAAAATATTAAAGGTACTGTAGAGCAAGTGTAAGGTGTATTACTTGCACAGTTCTTAAGTTAGCAACAGTTTTTACATGAATTAGACTTCTCGGGTTCCTTTAGTATACATTTCTTATTGTTAATTAGTATGTGAATGGTAAATGTACATGAACTGCAACAAGTGCTCAACTGGTACTGTAAATTCATTGCTCTTTCCATCCCATCTTCAATTACAAACCTTTTATTTAAACTTTTTTTCTTCTTTACTTCATTTCTGCATGTTCTGTTTCTAGGTTACTTTGTTGACTCATCTTTCACCAATATCGATTTATCTGACCTGGCTCTCCATTTCCAAGCCAAGGGTTATATTAGAAGAGGTGGTACTTACACCACTGTTTTGTGACCCTTTTTTCCTTACCTGTGCTTTTGTGATTTTGTGAAATAGAACCTGTTTTATAACCACTCAAAGCATTTTAGAAGCATGGATTTCAAATAGGTTAAATAAGCTTTACATAGTATATACTCCAAACCTGTGACAACAGTCCGTATGCTTGGGCTGCGATGGATATTTCCTATTTGGTAGCATAAATTGGAATGGCAGTTGCCTTATGCAGTATAAGTGTGCGATATTACACAAAAACTGCAAACGTTTTTGTTATTGTAAAAGTTTGCATTAAATGTGATGTAGTCTTTCTCTAGCTTTTTCTTCTGTATTATGTGTTGTTTTCCCTGCATTGTGTTGTCGTTGTGGTTGTTTTAGTCACCCTGAAATAGAGCGTTGATAGAAAGTTGTTTGTCCCATATCTACAGCTCTTCTCTGGGTCAGGAGGGGCCTTCAGATGTGCAGACTAGGCTAAATACAAAAAAAAAGTTTTTAAAAAATTATTTTGCGTGTGCATGTATATGTACAAAAGTTTGGGCACTCATAGTCAAATTGCATAATATGTTAATTTTCTGGAATAAAAAAAGTACATGCTGTAGGAAACAGCCTTTTTCTGCAATATATTGCAGAGTTACTGCTTACTTACTGAAATAAGTTTGGTTAAAAGAATTAAACATGAAGTGTGGCATATACAAACATTTGGCGATACTTCCATATCAATGATTGTGTGATGATGTTAATATGGTATCAGAACTTAATTGGCTTATAGGAATTTAATCCAAGAGCTTAAAGCAAGCCTGACTTCTTATGTAATGTTAGTTCACTGACTAATGGCTTTATTTTATTTATAATATATTCTGAGGCGCAGACCTGACAAATATGCAGGTCAGGAGGTTTTGTCTTCACTTTGACTTAGTAGTTTTCAAGCTTATCCTAGATGGGTGACAGAAAATATTGAAGCAAAAATAGGCAAGCAGTTAGTATTTTTAGGAGGTGGTCAGCAATGGTAGCATCAATATTTAGTTCAGTACAATTTTCTTTAATAAATCATGTGAACCTGTCTAGAAATAGCCTGTACTCAGCAGCCACAGGCGCATATATAAGTAGCTGAATGAGAATTTGAAATAAAGGTAACTAACTCTTAAAGGCTTTGTCAGAACGTGTGGTAGACATCAGGACACCTGATATGGACATTCTTCTGTTGTGGAAAGCTGGCCATGCACATATAACTATTACCGTTCAGCCTGCAAGCTGAATTATTATACAGGATTTATATAGCGCCAACAGTTTGCTCAGCGCTTTACAATCTAACGGGAGACAATACAGCAACAATACAGTTCAATACAAGAGGGATAGAAGGGCCCTGCTCCTTGGAGCTTACAATCTAGGAATAAAAACGAAATCGAACATATTCCTCCATCCATGCCACACAGTGCGGATGGTTGATGCTGTGACCTCACCAGTTGTAATAATACCCACACAACAGCTGCATCTGATTGGATATAGCCGCTGTTCGGCATTTTATACCCAGCTCCTCTGATTTTGAATCCAAGGGATGACAGATGGGAGGCAGCTGACAGGGCTCATCACTACAGAAAACTGCAAGAACTGCACATTGTTACAAGCACAAACATGATTGGCATTTGTCATTTAGTCCTCATGCACACGGAACGTTTTGATAAGGCTGGTAACGTTAGCTGTGTAAAGTCACATTAAAAACATGAGTTTTTCAGCTTTTTTTTTACGTTTTTGCATTAGCATTTTGCCGCGTTTAGTGGCATTTTTACACGTTTGCGTTTTTTTAGCAGGGTTTTTTTTTTTTTTTTTTTACCAAAGAAAAATATTTTTTTGGGTCCAAAAAATGTCCAGAAACGCCAGTTTGCGGCTTTTTTACCGCGTTTTGCCACATTTTTCAGCGCTAGATAGTTTTTACAGCTAAAAAAAAATCCTCGAGAAATGCACTAGTTCTGGGGTTTTTTCCAGCCAAAAAACTATGATTACAGTCTATGTGTGCATGGACACATAGGATAACATGCCGGGGGGCTTACCAGCTGTAGAAAAAAACGTCAAAAGCCAAAAACAGCCGCTGTAAAAATGTCAAGTGTGCATGAGGACTAAAAAAGCCAAATCGCCAATAAGAAATTAGCTGTGATTTAGTTATACTAGTTTGTGTATATCTAAAGTATGCACCACAATAGATAAGCTAGAGAACAAACATCTGAGGTTCGGTGAAAATAAAATTGAGCTGTTTGGTTACAATTCTTAGTGGTTCATTTAGAGATAAAAAGGAGAAGCTTTTGAAGACAAAGACCACCTGGCTACCAGCTAAAGTAACTTTGCTACATTTTCACTGGTATGGTGGATTAGGCCCCTGGAGGTGCCTGCATGCATTGTCAGCCTTCTTGTAGAGCACCTTAGTGACCTGAATACCAGGGTGCTGTGGTATGAAAATATTAGCCCCCTTCCCCTCTGAGAGCTTCTCCTGTACTGCTTTGGTGGTCCATCACTTTGATAGACATCTCTCTCTATCCATTCAGTCGTATCCGACCCTTAGCGATTGCATGGACCGTCACTCGTAAGCGACTTTTTCCATGAACTCTCTCAGCAATTATTTTACAGGGTAGGTTTCTAGGTCTTTCCCCAACCCCTACCATGCAGGAGATCCCACATGGCCAGGGATGAAACTAGGACAATTTAGACAGGAGCCAATTAACCTACCAGCATGTCTTTGGAGTGTAGGAGGAAACATGAGTACCCAGAGGAAACCCACGCAAGCACAGGGAGAACATGCAAACTCTATGCAGGAGGCACCATGGTTGGGAATTGAACCCATGACCCATTTTTTGCACGGCAGACGTGCTAACCACTAAGCCACTGTGCCGCCCTTGATAGACATAGTCACTGTGTAATAGTAAAAGCAGACCACGGGAAGAAGATTTGCAAAAGTACTGGTTGATGAGGTTCCCAAGCTTATTTACATATGCCACATTTTGTGTTTTATACTTTTTTCCAGTCTGTTTAACTGAGAATATAGGTTGTAATTATTAATTAAGACTTGCGGATATTTCCCTTAAATTAATTTTACATCTGCTAAAACTGCAGTAATTTAGTTTACATTAATGTGTCTTGATTGTATAAAAAGGAACTAATTGATGGGTGTCATGAACTGAACAGTTGTTACAACCCCATTTCCAAAAAAGTTGGGAATATTGTCTAAAATCTTCATAAAAACAATGCAATGATTTTATTCACAATATAACATAGAAAACATATGACATGTTTAAAGTGAGAAAATGTACAATTAAAAAAAAAAAAAAAAAAAAAAGTAATTTTGATATTCATGGCAGCAACACATCTCACAAATTTTGGGACAGGGTCATGTTTACCACAATGTAGTATCCCCTTTTCTTTTAACAACACTCTGTAAATGTCTGGGAAATTAGATCAGTTGCTGGAGTTTTGGGAGAGGAATGTTGTCCATTCTTGCCCGATATAGGATTCTAACTGCTAAACAGTCCTGGGTTGTCTTTGTCATGTTTTTCATCTCAAGATATTCCAAATTTTTTTCACTTGGTGAAAGGTCTGGAGACTGCAGGCAAGCCAGTTAAGCACCCGGACTCTTCTACTACGAAGCCATGCTGTTGTCATAGATATAGTATGCAGTTTAGTATTTTCTTGCTGAAATATGTAAGGCCTTCCCTGAAAAAGATGTCATCTGGATGGGAGCATATGCTGCTCTATTGTTCCGCATTGATGATGCTTTTCCATATAGTGCAAGCTGTCCATTCCATACACACTAATGCACGCCCATACCATCAGAGATGCAGGCTTTTGAATTGAGTGCTGATAACAAGCCGGAAGGTCCCCCTCCTCTTTAGTTCAGAGGATGCGGTGCCCATGGTTACCAAAGACTGTGTTACATTTCAATTTGTCTGACCACAAAACAGTTTTCCATTTTCAATGAATTTTGGCCAAGAGAAGATGGCAGCATTTCTGGATCATGTTCAGATATGGCTTCTTCTTTGCATGATAGAGCTTTAACTTTCATTTTTGGGTGGCATAGCGAACTATGTTCACAGATGGTGATCTTTGGAAGCATTCCTGAGTCCATGCAGTGATGTTCATAACAGGATCATGCCAATATTTAATGCAGTGCCTTCTGAGGGCCCTGAGATCACGGGCATCCAATATTGCTCTTTGACCTAGTCTCTTGCGCACAAAGATTTTGCCAGATTCTTGGAATTTGATGATATTACTGTATGTACTATTGATAAAGATATATTTCAAGTCTTTGCAATTTTATGCTGACAAACATAATTCTAAAATTGTTCGACAATTTTTAGACGCAGCAGGGTTTATTTACTAAAGCTGGAGAGTCCAAAATCAGACTCCCTTCTGCATAGAAACCAATCAGCTTCCAGGTTTCATTGCCAAAGCTTCATTGAACAAGCTGAGGTTAGAATCTGATTGGTTTCTATGCAGAAGGGAGTCTGATTTTGGACTCTCCAGCTTTAGTAAATAAACCCCAGCTTGTCACAGATGGTGACCCTGTGCCCATCTTTACATCTGAGACACTCTGACTCTCTAAGATGTCCTTTTTATATACCGAATCATGTTAGTGACCTGCTGCCAGTTAACCTAATTAGTTGCTAAATGTGCTTCCAGTCCTCCTTTGTTACTTTGCCAGCTTTTTGTTGCCCTATCCAATTTTTTTTGAGACATGTTGCTTTCAAAATTACCTTATTTTTTCTTAAAATGGTACATTTTTCAGTTTAAACATTTGAAATATTTTATTTTCTTTTATTTTTCTTTTATGGGTTTATGATATTTGCAAATCATTGCATTCTGTTATGTAGATTTTATACAGCATCCCCACTTTTTTGGAATTGGGGTTGAAGATCAAATTGGTACCATACCACAATTTTCTATGTAGTGACCCAACTTTAGTATGTTTGCCATCCTCCCTGCTAATGGTACTTTTAAGAATGCCTAGTCTGACTGGAGTGCTGCATTCAGATCTTTTACAGAGAAGGGTTAGAAACCATACTCGCATACCTAGCTTGCCCTTACTGGAATAACTCATATTGAAGTGCTGCCAATTAGCAATATTTCCATTTGTTTTAGATCCAGACAGGAGGTCAGTTTCAACAATGAACCTTTCGAAACATGTTGATCCAGTTATTAACAAGCGACTTTCCACCTCATCTGCAACATTACTTAATTCTCCAGACAGAGGTACAGTGTTATAAACAAATTGGTGTAGTGATGAACTTCATTGTATCCGCCATACTGGAGCATCTTCGAAAAAAATTCCTTTACATATCTTTAATTACAGATCATTTTAACATAATTTGAACTTAGTGTATAAACATTTTTACAAATGTTTAGCTGCCATTTGGTATCTCTTTCAAGATGTTGCTTCAGGTTTCAATTTCCTTCAGAGGATAGATCTTGTAATTGGCATTCATGAATACACATGTAAAAGTCGCCATTCATGCACATCAAAATTAGAAATTTGACAATTCATTTTGATGTGCAGCCTTACATTCTCAGGTGATTGCCATTTTAGGAATTACAAGGCTTTAGAATGACAATAGTTTGTTTCAGTGCGATTACTGAACAGGTGCATTGGAACATTTTGCCCCTATGTATTCCACCCTCTTCTGCTTGAAAGCTCCTGTATCTAATTTAAATGTATCAAAAACATTTTATAACCGTTAAGGTTTAGATTTTTTTAGGTTGATGTTAAAATTAGGTGACCCTTTAATAAAGGTTATTGCATCGAGACAGATATTTTCCAGTAGATACAGTATCCTAGTTGAAATTGCATTTACATAATTGCCAGGGCAAAGGACACTACAGTTTTGTCAATATGACTTGTCCTTGAAATTTAAATAGAATTCCCATTTTCATCCATGCATTTCTCTTTGTGTTTCTGTTTGTGACCGTGCCCATCACTATCATTTGTGCTTCATATCTGAGTGCAATAAATGAGTGTTGTGCATGCTGTTTGTAAAGTGAAATGCGTATATTAATGTATTTTGTATTGTGTGATAAAGTAAATCATATATCCCTTTGTACACAGTAATTTGTCATGTTGCAACATGTTATTTAGCTTGCTGTTTTGTCAGGATTTACAGTCCAGTACAAAAGAAGCCTTTTTGGTAGAAGCATGTAACAAATCCCAGCCATAAACATTATTATCAAGTGTGGTTGAGTATCCCAGTAAAATAGAGAGAGTAACATAATTTTATGCTGTCCATCGAAACAGCTTATTAACTTTAAAGATAATTGCAACATCGAAGCACTGCAGCACTACAAAAAATGTATTTCTTGATCGTACCTCAGTGGGCACAGACTAATAATTCATTCACCAATGGGTAATTTGACACTGGCAAAGTAATAGCTGTAAGGACATCCCTACGTAAATCCTCCAACTCCCAGCATTCCTTTTGTTTTTTCTAGTGAGCTTAGGTGAAGGACAACCTCTCTCCCTCTGAACTTGTTCCATTTTCTGTATCTTTTCTAAGTGCATTTTTTTCTGGTAAGTCCCTAGCTGCTACATTCCTATTTTGGCACCCCTCAGGAACTTTCCAGATCAGTTGACTCCTCTATAGTGATTTGAGATGGTGCAGACTCCATGGAGCTTTGGATGGGTCTAAACCTGCAGAAGTTGATGTTGGATCAGACTCATCATCCGGAATGCCCTGGAAATGGCCCAGTTCTTTCCCCCCTGGAGACGCTTCAGTTTTTTCTGCTTTCACATTCTTGTCCTGCGGTCCAAAAGCTACCAAAGCATTCACTTTTGCATATAGGTTCTGGGCTTAATGATGGCCTCCTTTGAGGCAGTCCTGTATGCTCAATTTCACTCAGGCTATTGCACCTCAGTGACCTGGCATCATTGGACAAGCAAACACATCCCCTAGATTGCCCAATATGCATTTTGCTATAATCAGAGAAATCTGTTCTCCCAGTGGTTTGGAGGGGGCATATGATTGACACCAGCCCATGGGGATGGGCCTGAGTCCTGGGTGCCCTCTCAGTACAGGGAACATGGTTGTTTGAGGAAGCTTGGCTCTCGACCAGCACTCAGGAGTTAGGGATGACTTGCTTGTCTCTTCTTCACTGGACAGTTTTAAGATCATCCAGCCAGGATTCATTCGAATAATGCCATGGCTGTGACTTACATCTACCATCAAGGAGGCACCAGAAGTCATGCAGTTTTAGCGGACTTGTTTCTTGCTTGGGTGTAGTTTCACCTTCTGATCCTGTCCACTGCACATCCCAGAGGTGGAAAACTAGAAGGACGAATCCCTTGGTTGTCAGACCTCTAGAGAATGGTTCACCTGGAAGTGTTTCAATCTCCCTGTTATAGGAAGGAGATATGGACATTATGGCTTTAATGCTTAAAGTGTTACTAAACCCACAACTGTAAAATCAGTCTGTATGTGCAGTAAAGCATGTTTGTTATACTTGCTCTGGAACCTAAGGGGTAATCCTCCGCATTGTGTGAAAATGCTGTTTGATCTTGTCTTCTCTGATCCTCCCCTTCTTCTACTGTCCCCAATTCATCTGCTGATAGTACAGAGCCCTTTGAGACACTCTGCACATGCTCAGTTTGGTGTGTATTGCTAGAGAGGGTTTTTGTTTTTTGGGGTTTTTTTTAGGAGGGTGTGTGTGATCGGCACAGGGCCAATCAGCCATGTACAGATGGAGGGTCAGGGGTCTTGCAGCCTCATCAGTCAGAGGAGAATGAAAACCCCTCCTACAAGATTAACCAGTGCTTGGCCAGACACTGATAGAAGTCACAAGACTGCTATGACTGCTGATGAGAAAAATGTTCTGTGTACGACCAGATATAGTGAATGCAGGGTCCTGGGTTTAGTAACACTTTAACAACAAATTGGACAAATTTTTCACCAGGACTAGGCATTATCCGGGCTTTCGCAGTGGATGCTCTGGTGAAACTGTGGAGAGCATTCTGATGATCATTATTGCACTGAGTTGGCCCAAGAGGCCATGGCACTCGGACTGCCAAACTCCTGGCAGACTATACGTGGGCCCTTTTTGATTGTCAAGACCTTCTGTCCCAAGGAACGAGCTTCCACTCTGCTACTCATTTGCTGGCTTTGACAGCTTGGCTGTTGAGACCCAGATCCTGGGGGACTTATCACATTTAGTAATTCCCTTGCTGTTGAAAGCTAGGAAATCGACTACTTGCAAACTGCATCATCATCATACTTGGAAGGCATACTTCACTTGCCATGCTAGGAAGTTCGAACACAAGAAGTACTCCATGAGATGAATACTGTATTTTTTCGCTAGTTGGTTAGATGAGCGTTAGGCCTTGAGTACTCTCAAGGGTCAAATTTCTGCCTTATCGGTTTAGAAACTGTTTGCTTTTTACTCTTTATTGAGGGCCTTCGTACTAGGTGTCGCTCATCCTATTCCTCCTTTATGTTCCCAGTTGACACTGTAGGATGTCAGTCTGGTTCTGTGGGTTCTTAAGACTGCCTTTTGAACCTCTTATGGATTTTTTGCTGTCTATCCTTATTCAGTAGGTTGCCTTTCTAGTTGCAGTTACCTCTGTGAGACAAGTTTGTGAGTTGACAGCTTGGTCCTTTGAAGAGTCTTTTATATTTTTTGCATAAGGAGAAGGTTGTTTTGAGACCTAGGGCCTATGTCCTTCCTAAATTTAATTTCTGTCTTGCCCCTGGAGCATTTTAAGGAGACTTTTTATTTTATTGTTTGCATGCAGTTCACGATTTTCAGGTTTACCTCGCAGCTACAGCCTCTTTTCGCCAATCCTAAGGGTTAGTCTCGCACCACTTTCTCTAGATAGTCTCAGCAATTCATCATTCATGCTTGTCACCTTTCACCTTTGTCAAGGCACACTCCTTTAGAAGTGTTACTTCTTCTTGGAGTTTCAGAATCGGGGTTTGGTTTAGCAGATCTGCAACACCTCCTCCTAGCCCTAAGTTAGCATGTTTGTTAACTTTTACCAAGTGAGCATGCAGAACTCAGCGGATGCAAGCTTTGACCGTTAGGTTCTTCAGACGACTTTGATAAATGATTTACCCAGCCTGTGTCCTTGGATATACAATTAAGAAATTAGGATTTTAGTCTTACCCATAAAATCCCTTTCTTGGAGTACATCACAGGACACTGTCCCCTATTCTCCATCTTTATAATCTGCTCTTGTAATTGCTTGCTACCAAACTGAAAGCTTGCTGGGAGTCGGAGAGATTAAGCAGGGCTGTCCTTACAGCTTTTGCTTTTCCAGTATCCAGTCACCTGAAGGCAGCTGCTTAACCCATAGGTTTGTGTGCTGTGATTTATGCAAGAAAAGGATTTTTCAAGTATCACAAAAATCCTCTTATATACTTTATATAAAAATGGGTACTACTCCTGAGCTTGTAGGTTGCAAAGAATGAAATGGGGTTTTCCACTTTGGGTATTGAAATATTAAAGGCTTAAAGCTAAAATCTAGGCAATCTATGAAAGCAGTGTAAGTATGGCAGGCTGTATTCACATGGGCATTTAGCCACGATGCAAATCCCAGTGGCAGGAATCAACTGATGATTGGGAATGACAGCAGTTTTGCATATAGCAGTAGGGCCCCCCTTCTACTGGAGATATGACCCTAAGGTGTGTTTAAACACAAAACAAACATGTAATATTTTTGCAGCTTACTAATCCTTAAATGAAGGATGCATCTTTAAGGCTTTCTTCCTTTTTTTTTAACTTGGTAATCCTGCAGATAGCACACTCCCTGTCCCTTGGTGGTTGCACTCTATTCTCCATTGCCGTAGAGCAGGGGTGTCAAACTGGTGGCCCTCCAGCTGTTGTGAATTACAAGTCCCATCATGCCCCTGCCTTTGGTAGTCATGCTTGTAACTGTAAATCTTGCAATGCCTCATGGGGCTTGTAGTTTGGCAACAGCTAGAGAGCCGCCAGTTTGACACCCGTGCTGTAGAGGAATCCATGGTTACCACTCAGGCTAGGCTTAAAATGTGTCTGGATTTCTTCATCTCTTTTACATAGGGGATGCAGAGATAAGTAGTTTAAGGCTCAGTTCACAGCAGAAGGTGTGACCCAGCGCGTGCTATTTTGCACGTTTCCATTTGTCACGTTTAGGGCAGCCCATTCATTTCATTGAGATGCCCAGGGCACAAGAAATGCCCAAAAATGGTGCCTACATGATTTAAAACCATGCCGCACCAAACCTGTGTACTGTTACCATGAGTTTTGGTGAGCATGGACGTGTGAGTGTTTGCAGGATTTGTGAGGGTGTCATTAAGGCTACCGGTCCCAAAACGGGCTTTACAAACCAAAGAGGAAACTGATAAACCATTTTCCTCTGCATTAAGAGAACTGCCTGGAGCCCCTCAACCTGTATAGTTGAGAATCCTGGGTTATCACCGTAATTTTCACCGTGGCAGGATACCGCACTGCCACAGTAGTTACGCTGGACTTACACTGCTGTAAGTTCCAAAGAAAGAAGAAAACACTTGGTTTTCCCCCAGTTGGGCTCACATGGAGTAACAATTACAACATCAATGGGTATTTTCTGTACTTGCTAAAATATGTTCTTAGCCTGAAAAAGGTAAGTCAATGTAATCACGTAATCTTAAGGACTGCTAAGCTGTACTAGCCCATTAAAATAGTACACAGATGAACAACTCAGTAAATATCAGGTCATATTGCAAAATGCTAGATTCTCTAGATATATCTTTAAATTCCCAGTGAGATAATGCTAGCATTATAAAATGATTTTTCAATTACTGTGATAAAATTAGTAACATCTCTTAATTAGAGCACTCTATTTCTTACATGAATTTGGGACAAAATTAAGTGTCTGTCCCTGTGTAATGGGTCACCGTGCTTTTCACATTGATCCTGCTTGTGTCTCATATTATGTTTGTGTCGTATAGGTCGGCGACCACAGCTTAGCCCATGGGAGTCCAGTGTGGTGTCAAGACTGCTGACACCAACACACTCGTACTTGGCTAGGAGTAAAAGCACAGCTGCTCTGTCTGGAGATGCAGGTAAAATGTTAGACAAAAGGCTTGGTGTGTGATAATCTTTGATTGATTTTTTATGTGTGTGTGTGCATCTATCTATCTATCTATCTATCTATCTATCTATCTATCTATCTATCTATCTATATATAGATATATATATATATAGATATACAGTATATATAGAGATATATAGCTATATATAGATATTTTTTCCATTTTATACTTGTGACCTTTCTGTGTATGAAAAGGAAGTAACTAGTTCTTCCAGGAGATTATATAGAATGGTATCCTGTGTATCTTTTGTTCTGACTCTAATTCATCAAATTATATCTGTAACAGTTTTGTTTAAACAAACCTTCTTTTCTGTATGAAAAAAATGGAGATTCATTTGAAAAAAAGAGATTTTACATCATGAGAATATTTTCAAGAACTAAGATGATTACAGTTTAATTTTGTTTTCTGCTAAATGTCTGATTCATGCTTTAATTAAACTATTCCATCAGCCTTGCAAGCAATAATTGTTAATACATTCATACAAAACCCTCTTTTCTGACTAAATGCACTACTTTGCAACTTCTCCATTCTGTAAACAAAATAAGGAGAAGGGAAATCTGGATACATGCTGCTTACACTGTAGCAGTGTGTTATACCAACACACCCATTTACTGGGTTTTTATGGTTTGACCTGAGCTTTTGCTGAACCAGAACATCAATTGGCAGGCTAATCAAGTTTAGTCTGTAAAGTGATTGTAAAATAGAAATGAAAGGCAAAACATTTGTGGATAGCTATAAAAAAATTAAAATACTTTTTTTTCCTTTTTTTTTTTTTTTTTTTTTTTTTTAATACGTGATCACATACCCTATGTTCTCAGCTGCCTACGAGGGGAGGAGACACATCAGTACACTGAATTTACCAGTGAATGGCTGTGCAGAGGGGTGTATCAGGACAAATCTGATCATTGGAGGAGAGCACGCTGAGTTCCCAGCATAGCTAGAGAACTGACCATGCTGTGCTCTCATGCCTAGTGTGGTCAGTTTTTTTTTATTTGGAAAGTAAGGGGGCTAGCAGGAACACCAAGGATTTCACACAAAGGAAGCAATACAAAGAGAACAGACTACTTTTTCATACAAGTGCATGGTACAGCAGGCACATATCAGGAATATGAAAGGTTGGGTTTACATATTTTTTAAAGTAATATTCCAGCCAAATACTATATCTTAACCTGCCATTCTAAGCCTAGTCTAAGTACCCTCTAGAAGGAATATACTTATACTTACCTGTTCTTAGAGCACTCCGATCCGATCACATGATTGGTTCCCAACGGTGGCTTCATTGTGGAGGAGGGACAGATGACAACAAATGCTTATGAGTGACATCATCATCCAGGACCTGTGGCCATTGTTCACCTCTTCACTGAAGCCAGAGATATCATGTGACCGGACTGGAGCACCTTCAGAATAGTTAAGTATAGACATCTTTCCTTTACAGGGTAGGTAGAAAATGCTTAGAATGGGGTTGGGAACAGGTTTAGGGTAGAGTTAGTATTTGACTGGAATTCAACTTTAAAGTGGTTGTAAACCCTCACATATACCCACTGGAGTGACTGGCCTCAGGTGATACCCAGAGATGTTTATCTGCAGTATTCTCTTCTCTACATCCCTTCAAAGTGCAGAAATTATAAAGCTTGTCTGAGCTTTCAGAAAATGGGGTGGAGAGCTGAAGTTGCACTTTTTTTGCAGAGCTTAGTTAGGAGAGCTCTGACAGCTGATTGGAGAGACAGCACCCCTCCCTCTCCCCTCACAGGAACATAGCTAAAATTGTTAATCACAGGCTGCTGGAGGTCCCTCTCCTATCACCTTTTTTCTCTTGGTGTCAGGAAAACTTGTCAGAAGGGACACTGATGCTGATAGCAAAGAAACGAGGCAGTAGACAAAAATAACACTTAGTGCTTTTAAAGTGGTTCTAAAGGCTGAAGGTCTTTTGCATTGTATGAATGAAGGTAAAAAGCCTTCAGTGTGCAGCTCCCCCCTCAGCCCCCCAATACTTACCTGAGCCTGATCTCGATCCAGCGATGGGCACGAGAGCAGAGGCTCTCCTGGGTCTCTCGCTCATCATTGGCTCCCACTGCTGTCAATCACAGCCAGTGTGGAGGAAGCAGTGGGTGGGGCCAAGATGCACTCTGTGTGTCTGTGTGTGCTCTCAGCTTGCTCTGGGGGTACTCAGCACAGGGGAGGAGCCAGGTGGGTACCCAAGAAGAGGAGGGTTGGGGCTGCTGTGTGCAAAAGATTGCACAGAGCAGGTAAGTATGAAATGTTTTGTTTTTTTTTTTTTATTTATGTTTGTTTTAAATACACACTTAGAGGGATATGCTTTGTTCCTATTTCATGTCTGAGGTTTACACTAACTTTAAGGTAATCGTACTGTGCATATAATAACTGAATTATTTTGTTGTTGTACATGTATAATGTGTGTATTATGCAAGTTTTATATTTGTACCAGATAGTAATGATTATGTATTTTACATGTTGATGCTCTGCCTTTCTGCCTGCTTTTCACTTTTATTGCTGTGTTTATGGTGGATTAGACTTTAGATATTATTTTCTCTTTTCACTTATCTTCATGCTTTAAGAGAAAGTCTTCTCAAAACTGACTTTCTTGGATGATGTTGAGTTACAAACATCTATCTCTTGTGGACTCTAACAGTTGCATCTCAATGCCTCACTCTGCCAACTTGCAGCTGCCATTTCACGGGGTATCATTCTCAAATCTGGAATCTCCAGGTTTTACTTTATGGAGTTTGCTACAGAAAAATTTAAATTGTTATCTGGATTATATTGATGAAGTCGGCAGAAGCATAAATTGCTGTATGAGTTTATTGCTGCTAGAGTCCCTCAGAAGACCAAGTGTCTGGTACAGCCTGCCAACGTCTAAAAGCAAACTATCGGTTTTAGGCTGACATTAAAATGACTAAACTGTTTTGAGATCACTACGTTTACTAGTCAGTGATTCTGTAATTACTGTGGGATAAAGGGTTTGTGATTATGAAAACAATTCCAGATCCATCACTGCTAATTGATGCCATTTTTACTGTCTTAGCAAATCAGCATCATTTGCAGAGGGTATTCTGTAAATGAGCTTTAACTGAGCATTGTGGCATTTGTTTCATGTTTCCAAATTGGCTAAAATGTTGAATTACTTATCTGCTCATTCTGTGATATTTGTCACCCATCAATGCTTTTGGGTTATAAATGACAAAGAATAAAAAAAACAGGTTGCTGTGATGGTTTTGGCTTGGAATACATTTTCCTGTTGATATTAACAGGCTCCTTCTCTTTCTTCTTCTTTTCAATCTTTTCCTCCTGCCTCATGCTTCCTGCTATTGTCTTATTCATTGTTCACATCTCCACCTGTGTTCTATATAAAACACCTAGTTATCCCCATTTGTCCTCGTTCAGCATCTTGCAGCCCCATAAGCCCTCAGGCACAAAAGACTCCAACAATTAAAAGTTCAGAGAGACCCAAGACTTTCTTTACAACTCCAGAGGCTGCAGCTAGGCGGCGAACCACACACATTGCAGGATTCGTCATTGTAAGTATAGAAGACTGTGTTTCAGATCAATATGTTATACACTGAATTACATTTTTTTTTTCTTCTTTCATTGAGTTACACCAGATTCAGAGAAATTCTGATTATACTGCCATCTACAAAATTATTTTTTTTGCTGGTGTCCTAGGAGGATAGATGTCTTTTCTCTACTGAAAAAAAGTTCAACCATTCTTACTAGCCATTTTTTTCTTTTTCTTAAAGGAGAAATAGGGCCAAAGCTCTTTTGACCCTTCAGGTAGGTAGGTGGTCTTTTTCCTGTTCCTTGGGGGCCCCCTCAGGTACCAATGGTCACACCTGGACACAGCTACGAGATCTCGGAAAGTGAGTGCACTCAAGTCACCTCAGTTGCGATTGCAAACACTTCAGTTTTTATTGGCATAACATCAGGGTTTTTATACTGTAGTCTTTGGGCAGACACACCTTCAGACCATCCAATCAAATACATGTACATTATCTGTACCTTAACTCAACAATTATTTGTATGAGGTCTGCATTTACACTTTTCTGCCTTATCTTTCACACCATATCTGGTCTAATGCCCAGACCATGGCTATAATCTGGCCTAACGCCCAAGCTGTGGTTACAACTTTTCAGAAATGAGAGTAAAGGTTATCTCCTTCTTTGTAAGGTTTGCAAAAACACTTATTTCTACATAAAGCTGCCATAGACAGTTTTGTTACTGTGTAAAAAGTTCATATATATGTGTATGTTAAACAAGAATCTTGTATTAGTGTATACAAAATGGATTTGGTTATATTCCATTAATCCTTTCAGACCCTATTTCTCATGTGGGTCACAGGAGTGCGGTTAGTTCTGCACTCCTGTGATCTGTATTCAGCCGACAGTGGGATAAAGTCCGCTACCTGTTGAAGTCACTCAGCTGGTCCGGACTCTGGAGGGACCTCCCCTTTAATGTCGGGATCCACCCAGATGTCTGACCGACAGATGGCTGAGCCTCACAGTTCAGTGCTGAGGGCCTGAGCCAGCCGCTCCTACCCCCTACACTGCCAGGCACTCCAGTGAGCACTGGAGGGATATAGCGGAGAGCTGCTGACTGACAGTTGACTTGTGATTACCTCAGTTTTTCCCTAGTATTCTGTGGTGTTCTTTTATGAAACCGAGATCAGCGGTGATCGTGAGGATCGTTGCTGATCTCCGATCATTAGTGGTTTAGGAAACAGAGATGATCAGCGGAGAACATGTTCTCTGCTGATCATCTCAGCACACAGATGACCAGTATATGAAGGCACGATCTCAGCACTTCACTGGCGATCTGTGTTCTCCCTCCAGATTCTCCAGCTCAGAGCTGGAGAATCGGAGGAACCGCAAACGAAGCAGCGTTAATTTACAGCTGCTTAGTAAATGGTGTTTGACTGATCTCTTACTGTAATCTTGTGAGATTATAGTAAAAGCAGCCATTTTCCAGCATTGAAAGCGTTTGTAGATCGGTTCTCCCTTCAATCGGAGAACTGATCTACACCGCTTCATAAAAAGGCATTCAGAGGAGAACTGTCTTCTCCAAGAATGCCGGAGAACTGACCGCTGCATGATAAATGGACACCTAAGTGTTCCCTGCCAAGCAGTGCAACATGTAAGACCCCAAACACAAGGGGAGCAGTCCCTGCTGTATTGGATCCATCCAGCTCACAAGCCACTAACAGTTTTGGGGTTGGCCTGCAGTGCTCCCTTTCAAGGGTCTTATCCCCTGCTTTATTCACTATATTCCTTGGAATCTTCGTTAATCCCATGAGGTATTTTCCTTATCCCACAAGCATTTCACTACAGTTATGCAGGATGTCATAGACCAAATTGCAACTTTGATAGTTGACTCTAACTGAAAAGGCTTACCTCAGTGCCTTTTCCTACTGAATCATCATTGGATCTGCTTGGAGCTTTAGGCTCCGAGACTCGGCTGCAGACATTCTATCTGGCAAAGAGTCTGAAAACCCCTTGCCAGATGATATTGTCCTTGAGGAGTCGCATGCATCTTGCTGAAGCTCCCAGGCTTAGAAAAACAATTTCGGCTCTTATTAATGCAGTGCATGCCACGTAATAATGAGATATAAGCCATTAGCTTATACAAGCCCTATTACTAGTCTGGGATCCCTTAGAGGCTCTAAGACTTAAAAAAAAAAAATTCTGGTGCACACCCTACTGCAAGATGTTCTGTACAGAGACTGGGAAACTCCTAATAAACTAGTCACACCTCCCAAACATTTTGTAGGCTAATATCCGTTGGGGAGGCATTTTTAAGAAGTATCATGTCTTCATAAAGCATTACTGTTTCTGTATAGGATGCGCCAGTGCCTAAGGATCCAATAGATAATTGTTTGGAGATTTTTTAGAAATCCTTGTTTTTCTCTGTAGGCCTTGCCTTGCATCCTGCCGTAGTCTATCAAACATTAGGGAATGGATGGATTCCCATCCATAGAATGGTGTAGAATAGAACTATAATAAGCATCTTTTGTGCATGCCCTCTGAGGGTCAGTGTTTCTGCAGAGATGCATTGGACACCTCTGGCCTTACTTCTTTACACCGTGTGCTCACCTTTGTTACGTTTCCCAGGGCATGTCTATTGTGGGATTAATGAAAGACCTCCAGTTGAAGGAAAAATCAGCACAGGTCTAACAACAGATCCTGGATCCTGAACCTTCAGTAATTGGTGTTAGAGTCAACTTATTGCTTAGAAGAGCTAGGGCCTTATTTTAGACACAGCTCAGCCAAAAGTTTTTCTTCCCTAAGAGGAATTTCAAACTCTCCTCTCCTAGACTTTGGACTCTTCTGTCCAAGAGTCAATGGCCTCTTCTCTTTCACATGAGTATCATAGGGTTGATGAAATCCTCCTTCGATATTGGACATCCTGACTGGTGGGTCATCTGATCAGGATCTAGTCAGATAACCACAAAAGTAGCATACCTCTGCATAGAGAGGTAGAAAAGATTCTCTCATGGGCAGAACATTCATGTCCCACCCTTGTATGCACTTAACATTTCAGGCTTGGAGAATTGGCATGTGGACATCCTCAGCCGGCAGCACCTGGATTCAAAAGCCATGCCCCATTAAAGCCAGTGACCGTGAACTTTTGAGCACAACTGTACATGTTGGCTATTTCGCTATACCTGAAACCTACTGTATACACTTACTTTTAGGAATATGTTTAAAAATAATTTTAAATATGTTTTTTACTTTTAAAATTGTAAATACTTTTAATGACTCCATCCTGTATCCTTATGAAGACAGAGCAGGTGCTAGGATGAAGATTCACTAGCTCTGAAAGAGGGAGCACAATCCTTTTCTTGAGAGATGCACATGTTCAGTGCACGTTCTCGCTATATCCTGTCACAGCTGCTGAACTCATTTGAGCAGACAGGAGACACAGAGAGCACACTGCTCATGTGCGGTCCTGGTGTGCCCTCCTTTAGCAGTAGGTAGTGTTTGTCCTAACAGAAGACAGAACAGAGCTATGAAAAGCATTTGCTATATTAAAAAGGTGAACTGATCCTTTATGGATGGGGTTCAGCCCTTTCCAGTCAAACCACATTCTGCTAAATCGACAAGTGCATTGTGGGCTTTTCAGCATTAGGCAGCTGTGTCTCAGATTTGTACGACTAAGTTCTTTTGCTCACTTGTTCTCTTATGTTCTACCAGATGGATATTCAGGCTTCAAATGATGCCAGCTTTTAAACATAAGGTCTATTAGCTGTTTGAGCTGTTGGCAGTACCTGGCTGTTTCCTGATGGTTTTTTTTTTTTTTTTTAATGATTTTTACTTTTGTATTTTAGTGGGCCTGTTGGGATTTTTTGCAGTGTTCCCTCGGACAGCTTTTGAACATCCCAACTGTCCTGTGTCCTTCAATGAACAAGACAGAATAGGATTTTTGTAGTCATTATAATATCCTTTTTAGGGGAGTTCATTGAGAGACACAGGTCCTCTACTCATTTATGGTCTTGCTCTTACTACTGCTTTGTTACAAAACTAAAGCATGCTGGGACTGGGAGGGGTTATACTAGTGCTCCTGTAGGCAGCAATATAACTCTGATGTCTGATTCCTGTGAACCCCATTGAACTCCAAGAAAAAGAATGTATGGTAAGTTCAAAATTCCTGTTTTTTGCTTGTTACATTGAAATTTCCTGCATTAGCTAGAGTTCGATTTACATAACAATTCAGATGATTTTTATACAACTTTTAATGTATTATATTGATATAATTTGTTTTTACTAAAACAGCGTAATGTCACCTGAGAATTAGTAATGAATAATTATTAATCATTACATATATTATGTATGCACTGTGTCCAATAAGATATGTTCAAATGATACTGTTTGTCATGGGAGAACTGAAAAACCCTTTGCCCAACGTTATAAGTGGTTATCTGTTGAATGCTTTGAATTTCCCATCTACAATTTCCTCATGCCAAATTAATTTCCCTTAAAAGTTAAAGCTATAGTAAGCCCAAAATCAAAAATGTAATATTATGCAGCCTACCAGTCATTAGATGGGGTGGCTGCATTTGTTTTCATTTTGGGCTTTATTTCCTATGTTTTCACCTGGTGATCTGGCCATTAACACACCTAATGTATTAGGGTGCCTACACTCTGCATGAAAGTGCGCAGTGTCACCTTTGGACAGCAGCATTGTCAGTCTAAGGGGAGAGTAGTGTTAGATGTACTAGCAAATTTAAAAAACACTCTCTAGCCAACACATTATAAGCAGTTTGCAGTTACAGCAAACAGTTCTTCCTTGTGGGATAAAGATTTTTTGTATAAATAAACAAAAGCTGATCATTGTAAGCACCCCTGTCAGTATTAAACGGTTTATCTCAACACTATGACTGCTACATCTGCAGGACAGCTTGCTCTTTTGCAAAACAGACCTACTGGCTGAATCATTAGGTGAAAAGAAAGCTCAAAGTAAAATAACTAATGCAGCTACAGTATCACATCTAAAAGATGTTAAGCTGCAATATAATAAATGTTTGCTTTTGGGTTTAATACCAGTTTAATTTTATAGGCATAGAAGAAAATGGGTTTTTCTCTTACCTAGTTTTATAATATCAGGTTTGCTGCAAATAGTTTGGCTGTGGCATGAATTCCCCAGCCCCACCATTCTTGCAGGTGTGCGGAATAGGCTTTGTATGCAGCAGTGGTGCTTGATGTAGCTTGGATCACACATATCAGCCAGTGGTGGGATACTGCTGTGTACACAAGTTCAGATCTGGTTAACAGTTGTTATATACTCGTGCACAAATTCTTGTGGATGTAGACAAATCACTATTTGTAAGCTATGTGGCTTTTAAGCAATTCTTGTTTGGAATTTATATATAGATTGCCATTTTGAAGACCAAAGACACATCTTGAAGTCTAGTTGTCTAAACAATTATTCGATATTAACATGCCGCATTCTTTGAATCCATGAACACCATTTTACCATATATAAAAACAAGCAGTAAATTAACTAGACACTGACATTTTATTTTTATTGGAACTTAGGGACAGAAAAAAAAAACACGAGAGGATGAAAAGGAAAATAAATTACTAATACCTACTTCCATTGTCAAGAGAACCCATTCTCCTAGTATCCCAAGAGCAAAATCACTAGCAACTCTGTCTGGAGGGTAAGTGTGGAGATGTCTTTCTGTTCAGTGCACAGCTTCACTGTGGTATGTTCACGTAGACAGTCCATATTGATGTGTCACAGATACATGAATACAAGGCATGATGAAGTGAAGTGACACCTGGGCTTCTATGCAGTGTTACTTCTTAACTGACAGCAGGGGGAGCTTTGGAGAAGAGTGGCAAGCAGGGGGTGTGTGGGAAAGCAGAAGGCTGGTGCAGTGCTGAGTTTAGGGGATCAGAATATTTACAGAAACCAAGTTTGGCGTACTTATGTTAGCTGTATTATGCCACTAGACCCTAGGTCACAGTTTTATGTAGTTCTTGATGAAGATTGGTCAAACTGTGCCCCGTAATCATGCCAACAATTGAAAATATAGTTGGGTTCAGGTGAGGCCATCTTATCAGTTCCATAGTGCCATCTTATTTAAAAGGGAAGAATGGAACAGTATTTTCAAATCTATCCTCTTGTAAGTTCTGGAGAACACACAGGGTAGTGCTTTTTGAGGGTGGTAAAGCATGAGATGGTCACTTGGTCTGGAATCTGGATGGAATTAAAAAAAAAAGTTTTTGGTAGGGTTGAATACACCATCATATATTTAAATAAGAGGAAAGATGGTTCTCCCAAAACATAAGAGTACCAGCAACAAGGCTTTACTTTAAGAAATCATTATGTAGATGAGCTACACATGCCTTTCAAATCAAGAGAGAGTAATGTAAGAGAAAAAGCAACACATTGGTTCCTTTGAGGTGGTACCTCTATAGAGAACATGTCTCTGGTCAATGTAATATCTGTGAAATTCAGCCTACACTGATAATTAAATCTCTCTGCTACTGAGAGGTTTGACTGCTTGTTAGCAATGGTCTGCTAATGTGATGTTTGGACAACAAGTAGTTAAATTTCTCAATGTCAAATCATCTGTGTAGCCCTAGGCTTAGGGCTTGTGTTGAGGGGCAAAGGCAGCGTATTTTCAGGTGCATTCAGCCTACGTTTGAAATCAGTTGGAGGATTTTGTGGGATCATTCAGAGTTCAATGATGGATGCATTCAGTCGGCTTTCGACCTAGTTCTAAGCTCCATCAACCTCTCATTGATTTGTGTGGAAAGAAAAGAAGCTTTGATGCAAGCAAAAATCCCAGTGAGACAGGCCAGAACACACCTTGCAAAATGGCATTTTACCCATATAAACATAGCATCAGTAATGAAGATGCATTTTTCTGCAACTGTAGGCTTGTGATTTTTTTTTTTTTATTTGTGAAGATCATCATATTACAGACCAGCATGCCTGATGTTTTGTTATGTGCACATTACGTGCTTACAATTAGATGGTTACTAAACTTCATTTCAGGTTCCAAATGTGACTTCTCTCTCTTGCCTCTACAAAAAAATTGTTAAATATAGTACCTGTGTTACAGACTTCGATGTGTTTGACACACTGTGGCATGCAACCTCCTGATATTATGCATACAGCTAGCCTGCTATGCTGTCAAGGAATTTGCTTGTAACTGCAACTAGAATGGTGCTTTTGGAAAACCGGTGAAAAATTGCTTATTTAGCCCCAAAAAAAGTTTTATCTGTAAAAGGTGTTTTGTAGTAGTGGTCAGGAATAGCTTCATCAGAACCGCAGTGATTTCTCTATGGCAGTCTAGATAGTGAAGATCAATCAGTCCCAGGAGGACAGGTATTGCATTCAGTTTATCTTTTAGAACAGGCTGCAAGGTCAAGCATTGGTCAAACTACACTGAAAAAGTAGTTATGCTGTAAAGACATTGTACTGGTAATGCTTGTTATTCTGAGTAAGAGTTCACTGTTAACATTAATTGGATAAAGTAGGATAAAACCTGTTCTGATTGTTGTTGCTCCCCACAACATTAATCATGCCATCAACTTGTGCTTCCTTCCCACTCCCCTATCCATTATTATTATTATACAGTATTAGCAGTACCAAGCCAAAGATTCCTGTTTATAGAGCAGACTTGTCTCACAGATGTGCAAGGGGTAGTCAGATCATCTCAGGACTCCTATTCACACCCCCCACAGCTATGTCTTCTACCCCTTCTCACCCCCCACAGGCAGGCATGTCTTCTACCCCATTCTCACCCCCACAGGCATGTCTTCTACCCCCTTCCTACCCCCCACAGGCATGTCTTCTACCCCCCTTCTCACCCCCACAGGCATGTCCTCTACCCCCCCTTCACACTCCCTCCCTCCACAGCATGGTCCTCTACCCCTTTCACATCCCCCTCCCCCCACAGCTATGTCATTTACCCCATTCACACTTCCCAGGACACAGAGAGCAAACAGTTAAAAGATGAAGATACTTACACACAGTTCTGGACAGCGGGCCAGAGGAAGCACAGCAACAGGGGGAGGGGGGCAGGAGCTCCCAGAATTAATGTTTAAAGTTAACCAGCAGGTGATTGGTTGCTAAGTGCAGCCAATCACCAGCTTGTTAATAGGAAAAGTTAACTTTGGCAGCTCCCTTCCAGCCACCCTTCTTGCCCCGCCCCACCCTGTCTAGTGCTTTGCTGCCTCCCGCTCTAAGAATTTGACAGTTGGTGGAAGCTGAAAGGAGAAAGCAGCTCCCGCCCAAGCCCCCTCCCCATCCCTGCTCCATCCAGTGCTTTGCTGCCTCCCACTCTCCGCTCTAGGGGCAGAGACTGGAAGAAGAAAGTGGCTCTTTAAGTGGCATGACCACAGCGGTCCGGATTGGATACTGACTTGGTCTGGATCTGGACCGTGGTCCACCATTTAATGATGACTGATCTACAGGCTCCTTAGAGGTATCTTGTTTGGAGAGAAGTTAGTACACTTCTAATGCTTTCTGAATCACTGACCTGGAACAAATATGCACTCAGTGAAGTCACATATTTGAACTGCACATTTGTTTTTTTGTTTTGTATTTTTTTGTTCAGTGACTCAGAATGTATTGAAGTCACTTCATCAGCATCAAAGCCAGGCAGCTAAAATATAAAAGACAATGACATACTTTCAAGGATTGTATGTAATTCAGAGTTCTTTAATGAAATTGGCAGTGCTGAGACGAACTTTTTAGGGACGGTACTGCCATAGATACATTTTGAGTTGTGTGAGCATTTGTAGAACAACCAGCAGTTCTCAGGACAAATGTAACAAATATTAGCAATAAAATGCAGTGCTATAAATAGCGTGAAAGATACTGAATTAGTTAAATTATATATCTCATTGGAATCAAAATGAAAACAGTACTAAAAAGCACACACAGGTTGTAACAAAGTCCATTTAAAATCCACATAAGCAGGCAGAAGTTGGTGCTTGAAAGAAAGAGCCCATTTCAAGAAGGAGACCGTCACCATCCACACAATAAGAAAACCTCTTACCAAAAGATTTGAACGCCCAAAGGACTGGTCAAATAATGCAGTAAATTGGTCCAACTGGTGTGACAAGGACTCCTGAATGAAGGCTCCTTCCGGTAATTTAACAAGCACTTCTCCAAATTATAGGACCTCTAGGCAGCAAACCTCCCATCGGGTAACAAAACACCATGTAGAGAAGAGATGCCAACTCTTAGTGTAGTATATAACTCAACCATGAAATGTATTAAAATTACAAAGAACTTCAGTAAAAACTGGCCTGTCAAATACGTTGTTTTAAACCGACAAGATGGCTGCGATGACGTTCTCAGGACAGCTGAGTTAAAACTGGTACCCACTGGCTGAAAAAAAACAAAAATTTAAAAATTTACAATAACACAAGCGATGTTAGTACAGCAATCTCCCCTACTGTGCCTTTGTGTTTTGACCCCACCCCCAGAACACACTGCTCGGATGCTGGTATTCCAGCATTCCCTTTCTACAAAAGCTGTTCCTTAGACCAGCTTCTGTAGAAAAGACAGCTGTACACACGGACCGAAAGTCTCCCAGCTCTGCTGAACCGGCTGATTTTCGGCCCCATTCTAATCCGTTTCGAAGTTTCATCCCTTCTTCATCAGAGCTGAATGAAGAAGGGATCACCCTTCGAAACGCGTTAGCTTGACCAAGAGTTTATCTCCCCTTTGGATGGAACTTGTACGTGACCTGTAACCCTGTGTTGGCTATGGTTATTATATGCCTAATTTACTGCTACTCTTGTGAGTATATTTTATTAATAAATTAATCTACTATTTACTAAGGTAAAGCGCAAGGTTGGTGCGCTCTTTTTTTTTTTTATTCTTTGCTATAGTTGCATGTCTACCAGACCTACTGGACAATTGCAGATACGCTTTCTTGAGGTAGATGTTGATCAACCAGGTTTGATTTTTTTTTTCCAAGCTCATTGCTGTTTCTTTCCCTCAACGGAGGTCATATCTGTAGGGCGCATCCCATCCCCTCTCCAGCCCGTATACAGGTGAAACTGGAAAAATTAGAATATCGTGCAAAAGTTCATTTATTTCAGTAATGCAACTTAAAAGGTGAAACTAATATATGAGATAGACTCATTACATGCAAAGCAAGATAATTGAAGCCGTGATTTGTCATAATTGTGATGATTATGGCTTACAGCTCATGAAAACCCCAAATCCACAATCTCAGAAAATTAGAATATTGTGAAAAGGTGCAATATTCTCGGCTCAAAGTGTCCCACTCTAATCAGCTAATTAAGCCATAACACCTGCAAAGGGTTCCTGAGCCTTTAAATGGTCTCTCAGTCTAGTTCAGTAGGAATCACAATCATGGGAAAGACTGCTGACCTGACAGTTGTGCAGAAAACCATCATTGACACCCTCCATAAGGAGGGAAAGCCTCAAAAGGTAATTGCAAAAGAAGTTGGATGTTCCCAAAGTGCTGTATCAAAGCACATTAATAGAAAGTTATGTGGAAGGAAAAGTGTGGAAGAAAAAGGTGCACAAGCAGCAGGGATGACCGCAGTTTGGAGAGGATTGTCAGGAAAAGGCCATTCAAAAGTGTTAGGGACTTTCACAAGGAGTGGACTGAGGCTGGAGTCAGTGCATCAAGAGTCACCACACACAGACAGATCCTGGACATGGGCTTCAAATGTCGTATTCCTCTTGTCAAGCCGTTCCTGAACAACAAACAACTTCAGAAGCGTCTTACCTGGGCTAAAGAAAAACAGACCTGGTCTGTTGCTCAGTGGTCCAAAGTCCTCTTTTCTGATGAGAGCAACTTTTGCATCTCATTTTGGAAACCAAGGGTATGGAGGAAGAATGGAGAGGCACACACTGCAAGATGCTTGAAGTCCAGTGTGAAGTTTCCACAGTCTGTGTTGATTTGGGGAGCCATGTCATCTGCTGGTGTTGGTCCACTGTGCTTCATTAAGTCCAGGGTCAACGCAGCCGTCTACCAGGAGATTTTGGAGCACTTCATGCTTCCTTCCGCAGACGAGCTTTATGGGGATGCTGACTTAATTTTCCAGCAGGACTTGGCACCTGCCCACACTGCCAAAAGCACCAAAACCTGGTTCAATGACCGTGGGATTACTGTGCTTGATTGGCCAGCAAACTCACTGTACCTGAACCCCATAGAGAATCTATGGGGCATTGCCAAGAGAAAAATGAGAGGCATGAGACCGAACAATGCAGAAGAGCTGAAGGCTGCTATTGAAGCATCCTGGTCTTCCATAACACCTCAGTAGTGGCACAGGCTGATAGCTTCCATGCCACGTCGCATTGAAGCAGTAATTGCTGCAAAAGGGGCCCAAACCAAGTACTGAGTACATATGCATGCTTCTACTTTTCAGAGGTCAGATATTGTTCTATGTACAATCCTTGTTTTATTGATTGCATGTAATATTCTAATTTTCTGAGATTGTGGATTTGGGGTTTTCATGAGCTGTAAGCCATAATCATCACAATTATGACAAATCATGGCTTGAACTACCTTGCTTTGCATGTAATGAGTCTATCTCATATATTAGTTTCACCTTTTAAGTTGCATTACTGAAATAAATGAACTTTTGCTCGATATTCAAATTTTTCGAGTTTCACCTGTATATGCTTGATGTGATCACGTTTTTGCTTTTTTTTTTTTTTTTTTTTACATTACAGTGATTATTGGCAGGTGAGATGATCAGTGTCTCCAGTAAGCTTTATCTTGTTTCCCAAATTTGAAAAAAGATGACCGCTACATTAAGGTGTTTGTGTGTTACTTGCACAAGCACGCTCATAGAACATGAGCAATTATGTGTCAGTCAGTCTAATAAGCTGGTGGTGGTTACTGGTGAGCATACCACTGCAGGGACAGGAGCTTAAATTTTGATGTATTTTTGTTAGGTTTAAAGGAAATATTAGAATAACAACATTAAATTTGTTTTCATACCTGCATGTTTTTTCAATTTTTCTGATTTCAGACATCAGCAGAAGTCATCGGTCACTTATTCTAGTACAGCTAAGCCAGCACCATCCCTATCTAATAGTTCCAAAGTGGTAACTAACCCTCAGCGCCCACCATCACCTGGAAATGTCCGACCAGTAAAAAAGGAAAGCAAAAAAAAGACTGAAAACAAACAGGCTGAGGTCACAGTTAAGGAAAACACAGAGCCTAAAGATTCTTTACCAGCAGATGTAGAGAAAAGCAAGGAAGAAAAGCCTCGCAGCCCGAGTCCTGTTACAAACGAAACTCTACAAGGTACTGATATTTTTTTTTCAACAGGTAATTGGGATATTTTTATACAGTGTCATCTGCAAGGTCCTTTAACCAGTTATGGTGAGCGGAGCAGCAGCCTGGGCCAGTTAGTAAGAATAATGCTTTTAGTTCTGCGTGGTCATGTGGACCAAGCCAAACATTCATATTAAAGGTGAACTATGATACACTGCTGCATTCCTCATAATATATCAATGTTAATGGTTTACTTTGAGAAAAAGGAATTAGAGCAGTTTCTTTTGCAAATGTTAGACATAAGGGCACACAGGGAACATATTAAAAAAAAAAAGTGTAAATAGGAGGCTATGTGTCCCAAAACAGCCTACGGTTGCGTGTTTTATTTTCATGTAAACAAGAACGGTTTATGGGGGCTTGGTCAGCTTTGCATGCAGTAGGATGTGTGCTCCATTCTGCATGCTGGTAAATATCCTGATTGGCAGCTCGTTCTCCAGCTACAATGGCATCTCGGGTCCCCAGGGTGTTCTCTGACCCCCCCTGCTGTCACTTGGTGCCCCGATTATCCTGATTCGAGATGGCTAAAAGGGGGAAAGAAAGTTGGGCCTTGCTTGAGTCAGTTGGGCAAGATGGTGGTACCCCGATTCGTGCATCCAAGGAGAAGCAGAGGGAGGCTGCTCAAAAGTTCTTTGCCAGGCCAATCACCAGGGAAACTTCCCAGAAACAACTTTTGGACTCCGCTACTGATCCGGACTTAGACTTTGCAGGCTGTACACAGATCCCTCTTGCACTGGCAGACCAAGAGATCCCATCCTGCAGTCCCGCAGTGAGTATCCCACCATCCTAGTCTCATGGGACACAGCCTGTGATTTCCATTGAAGATCATCCTGAACCCAACCTTAGAGAAATCTTCTCCGCAGTCACTACATGTACCTCATCTATAGCGGTTCTTACCAGGGAGGTGAAGGGGATGAGGATGGAATTGACCCTGGTGCGTCAAGATATGCAGAAAATGCGGGATCGCACTGTGGCCTTGGAGGGGAGAGTGAGTACCCTGGAGAATGATTGGCAAACATTACATAGGGACATGCGATATGTGCAATCGATCGCTTCTACTAATGCCTCTAGATTGAAAAATTTGGAAAATCGGTTACGCCTCAACAATGTGCGCGCAGTGGGTATCCTGGAGCACGCTGAGGGTAAAATTATGTAACCTTTATTGAAGCCTTGCTGACCCCTACCTTTGGCAGTGATGTATTCTCCTTCATGTTTGCAGTAGAACGTACAGAGTCCCAGCACATGCTCCTCCGGTCGGCGCTCCTCCTCGACCCTTTTTGTTCAGGCTCCTCAATTACCGGGACAGAGATACCATTCTCTTCCAGGCCAGAAGCAAGGGTAATCTGTCAGTTGATAATGTTCAAGTATCCTTATTTCCAGATTTTTCCGTGGAAGTTCAAAAGCAACGCACAAAATTCCTGGATGTCAAGAAACGTCTTCGGGCATTGGGCCTTCAATATGCCATGCTATATCCGGCTAAACTTCATGTGCTTGCGGATGACACTTCTCACTTTTTTGATACTCCTAATGCAGCCTTACCATGGTTGAATGGAGCGGAACATCACCTGGCAAACTCCCCTGGAACCTGACCCTGGGGACCTGGTTGATCTTTAGTGCTTTAAACTCAGCTTAGCAGAACAGCGGAGTATTGCTCTCACACTTCCTTCCTTTTTTGTATCAGATTTTTTTCCCGCTTAAGGTGGTGCTCCTCTCCTCTTGGGCTATCCTTACTTTTACCTGCTGTGTGCTTGTCCACCAAACATTGTGCAAACCCCAATCTGTTTCTGGTCCTGAGGGGACCTTTTAACATCCTGCCAGTGTCTTCAGTTAATATTATTATGGCTCTGTTGGCCTACATGTCGGTAATAATTTCAGTATTCTCCCTTGTTTTGTTTATGGTTCACCTGCGATGTCTGTGTTTAGTGGAGTACATGTTGCTGGGTTTATCTTCCCTGCTTCCTTTGGCTGTCCTCCTGGTCACCCTGCCCCATGTGATCTGGGCCTCTCCTACTGCCTACCCGCTCATTGCTCCCCTCGGGGGCGGGGGGGGGGGGGGCCTTATGCTTGTCCACGAGTTATCCTTCCTATTTTCTCCATACGTTTTATGTCTATCTCCCATAAAGAATTGATGTTTTTATCTTGAAATGTAAGGGGCCTGGGTGATAAAACCAAACGGGGTGCTGTCTTCCATGTACTTAAACATTTCAAACCTTCTGTAGTATGTTTGCAGGAAACCCATTTGAAATCTGACACCGTCAGTACCCTCCGCTCTCTTTTATTTCCCATGCAATATCATTCCTTCCACTCCACGTTTTCTAGAGGTGTGTATCCTCATCTTTAACTCTATTCAATTTGTTCATGTGCAGAAGTGGATGGATGCGAAGGGCAGGTATATATTCCTACTGTGTACTTTGAATGGGTTTTGCTGCATAGTGGCTGTGGTATATATCCCTCTGCTCTACTCTTCAGAGGTCATTAAACGCCTAGCTCAATTTATGGCCAATCATCCTGATGTTCCCCTATTGGCATTAGGTGATTATAACAAATGCTTACTCCCTAGTTTGGATAGATTGCCCTTGGGCGGAAGGGGCAGACAATTATCCTCTCAGCCTACCTCATTTGCTAATTTATTGGTGGAACTGAGCTTCTGGGATGTGTGGCAGATGAAGTATCCGACAGCAAAATGTTATTCTTGTTTTTCTGCTACTCATGATGGGCTTTCACGCATAGTTTTGGGCCTTGGGAACATGACTATCCTGCCATAGGTGTTTGATGCTGCGTATGAACCCAGGGCTCTATCTGACCATGCCCCTTTCTGGGTCAAACTACAGTGTTATACCCGCTCTCTTCTGATGTGGAAGGTGAACCCATTTTGGTTGGCACTGTTTCCGGAGTCCGAGTTGATTCCAGGGGAGTTGTCAGACTTCCTGCAGCGGAATGAAGGCTTGTCCCCGCCAGGAATGGTTTGGGATGCGTTGAAGGCCTTCCTGAGGGGTTTGATTATCCGGGAGATTTCAGCGGTTAAGCATAGATCCAGGGAGTGAGAGGAAAAGGTACAGTTAGATGTTCAACAGCGGGAGATTCAGATGATCCAAGACTGAAGCCCCTGTAACTGCACCTCCTGGAAAGAGGCCCATGCCCTTTATGAATCAGTGCTTACTCAAGTAGCGATATTTTTTGCAACCTAAATATTTTGAGGAGGGGGAAAGTACGGGGCTCCTTCTTGCTCTTGTCCCGAAGTCACAACAAGGGGTGTCCACTATAGACAAGATTGAGGATGCTGATGGAGTGATCTGCACGAGTCATGCGGAAATCCTGAGCATTTTTCATCACTTTTACGACGATCTGTATGCTTCTAAGGCTCCATGTACACGGGACACTTCTGAACGATGGAAACTGACTGCTGGAAAATGTAGGTTAAAAAACGTCTTTTAACCACATTTGCATACCGCATTTATGAGCGTTTGCGTTTAGAGGCGTATTTTAAAGATAACCTCAGGAGACCTTCCAAAATGCCCAGAATGCACTGAAAAACAGTACAAAACTAACTATTTCAGACATCTTGAGAGTAGCAGAGAGAGCAGTATTTGTTGAGATTAACTGTCTTTTTTTTTTTTTTTTTTTGTGGTGTTTAGATGTATTCCAGATCATTTCTGTGCAGAAATTATTGCAGCAGTGTCTAACATATTTTCTTTCATGCGAAACCTCAAAGTATGGTGTACTAGGTCCATTTGAGTACCGGGAAAACGCTTTGCATGCATTTTTCATGATGAAATGGAAATGGAAGAGTTAAAATATGATGCAAATGTTTATAAATGCGGTTAGCCACATTTACAAGCATTTGGCGTTTGAAACGCTAATAAAATCTACTCCTGAACACAAGTTTGGTGCGGTTAAAAAAACAACAGTAAACTCAACTGCCTGTAAACGACTGTAAACGACATAGTGTACATGGACACATAGGAAAACATTAGGGAGAGTTCAGGGGCTGCTGAAAAAAAAATACAGAAAAGCTCCTAAACGTGAGTTTTATCAACTGCAGTGTACATGGAGCCTAAAACTGTAGCCACCCATTTTGAGCTTTTTCAGTTTTTAGACACCTGTTCTTTTCCTGTTTTTTTATCGGAGACTGACCAGAGGGAACTGGAGATGCCAATTACTGTTGAGGAGTTATCTGAAGCTTCGGCAGGCACCCTCAGTAATAAATCTCCGGGTTCAGACGGATTGCCATTCGAAATCTATAATAGATACGGCTTTAAAATTAATTGGCATAAATCGGTGTTGATGCGCATGGATCCTGTAGAACTCCCCCTCCCAGCATGTGCGCAACACATCCAAGTAGTGTCTACATTTAAGTATTTGGGGGTGGTAGTCTCTTCTGATCCTAAGCAATATATTTCTCAATATTTTACCTCTACTCCATCAGCAGAAATTGAAGTGTAACAGTTGGTGCAAACTCCCTCTGTCGTTGGTGGGTAGGGTTAATTTAATTAAAATGATTTGGGCCCCACAACTTCTTTATATTTTTCATAATTCTCCCATATGGATTCCTAAGAAATGGTTTCATCGCATAGAGACCCAGTTTAGGAGTCTTATTTGGAAAAAACAAGCAGCTAGGATAAATTGTCCACATTACAATATGGCAAGGCGTCAGGGGCGCTGGCGGTTCCTGAGCCCAGACTTTATTTTCTGGCTGCCCAATTGCAGCAATTGGTTGGCTGGGATTCATCTGATAATACTGATCCCATTATAAGTTTGATTTCCCTCCTGATCCCACCATTTCGGCTCTTTGCATCTCCCATTCTTTTTGATGAGACCTCTCAGGTGAACCAGTGGTTGTTGTTGATGTGTTTTTTTTTTTTGTTTTTTTTATTGTTTGAAGCCTTGTTTTGGGCTTTGTTCCTTCATTTCTGTTTACATCTGGATGGGAAGGAATAAAAAGGATCTGCGTATCCACGTTGTTCTATTTATGTGTAATCCTGCTGTTGCATTAATGTCATTGTGGATTCTGTAAGTACTCTTCCATTTGCTCTATTATCTTGACAAAAGTTGTTTGGATGAAAAAAAAAATAACTCTGATTGGATTTTTTTTTTTTTTTTTTTTTTTTTTTTTTTTTTTTTTTTTTTTTTAGTTTTTGTATTTCAATAGTTTTTATTAGTTTTAAGCAGTATAAAACAGAGGCGACAAAACATGCCCCCACAGGGGCTATCAATTGCACCGATAAAATAAAAAAACATAATAATAAAAGAAAAACAGTGCTCTAACTTCAACAAGGCAGAAGGTACGCCCACGCAGGGGCCTTCAATGGCACATAGGTTACAATGACGGTAATGAAATTCTAACTGCAATTAAAGGCAACTGTCAACTATCACCCAAAAAAAACTAACAGAAATGGAGAGAAAGAAAGAGAAGAGAAATAAGAGGAGAGAAAAAGAAAAAAAAAGAGAAGAGGAGGCAGAGATCCAGGAGCGCCACCATCAAACGCCAATGCCTAACGCCAGTACATCCCCATACTAGCCAAAGGAAGCGTGGGAAAGGCATATTGCAACCATGGTTCCCATATTTTCGAGAATTTACATTGGGAGTCGTTACATATGCTCGACATCTGCTCATTAAGCATCATATTGGTCATACGATCCCGCACCCCCTGAAAAGGGACAAACGGACTCTTCCAGGCCTGAGCAATCGTTCTGGTGGCCGACAGAAACAAATAGGATGCCAGCTTCTGCTGATGAGCAAAGAGACCCGGTATGGGGCAATGAAGCAAGGCATACCGAGCATCCCGGCGTATGGATAGATGAAACAACGTGAAAAGGAGGCCAAATACACGAGACCAAAAACGGACCAGTCTCGGGCATGACCACCAGATATGCAAGACATCGCCACGATGGCCACAACCCCGGAAACATCGATCACTACAAGCGGGATTAGCCTGGGCCAAACGAGCCGGAACCCAATACCAACGAAACAATACCTTATAGGCTGCCTCCAGCGTGGTGGTATTGAATGAGCATTTAGCTATGAGTGACCAGGCCCTATTCCAGTCCTCCGGATCCACATCCACCCCCAAGTCACGCTCCCACTGAACAACATATGAAAGAGAAGTATGCAACGGGCGTCTGTTCAAGGCTGCATAAAGGAGGGAGATAAGGCCCGGGGCGCCCGGGCGCTGCTGACAAAGCTGTTCAAAGGCCGATTTCTGGTATGGAAAAGAAGAAGTGCTCCGCAGCGAGAGTAGCCAGTGCCGCAATTGAAGGTATCGAAAAAATTCCGCCGGGGGAACATCCCGGGACTCCCGAAGAAGATCCCAGGTAGGGAAGGACCGAGAAACCAAAAAGTGTCGTACCTGTGAAAACCCATGAGCCACCCACCAAGAGAAAGCCCTTGGGTGATCTAAACCCGGTGGGAAAAGAGGGTTGTTAACAATTGGAAGCAAAGGCAGAAAGGGTGACATCAGGCCACTGGAACAACGTACGTACCGAGTCCCAGACTCGTAAGCCATGGAGCAACATCGGGCTCAGCGATATAGGGCGCAGGGCAGGGGGAAGCCATAGAAGCGCCGACGGTTGGATAGGGGCACAGTTAGGTAGCTCCAGCAAGACCCAGAAAGGGACGTCAGAGGAAGCGTGCAACATAGACAGCGGGGCAATCTGGCTCGCCTGGTAATACTTAGTTACATTGGGCACCCCAAGGCCACCCTGGAGTCTATGAGCAAAGAGCGTATTTCTAGATACTCTGGGGTGCTTATTGGCCCAGATGAAACGCATAAGCTTCGCCTGAAGCAACCGAAGGAAATGAGGGGGAACCCGCACCGGGAGAGTACGAAAATAATATAACAATTTCGGCAGGACAGTCATTTTCACTGAATGAACCCGCCCTATCCAAGACAGGTGCGGAAATTGCCAGGAATGCAGAAGAGAAGATAAAGAACTAAGCAATGGGTAATAATTCGCAGCAAAGAGGGAGTCATAGGTGGGGGTCAAGCGGATGCCCAAATATTCAAGAGAGGAGGAAGCCCATTTATAAGGGAAGTAGGATTGAAGGCGTGAAACCAAATCGGAATCCAAAGTAATATTAAGAGCGACAGTCTTATCCAAGTTAATACGGAGACCCGAAATCAAAGAGAAGCGCTCAAGAACCTGTTGCAGATTAGGAAGCGTCGTCAGAGGCTTAGTAAGAGTCAAGAGGGCATCGTCCGCAAAAAGATTCAGCTTAAACTCCTGTCCCGCGTATGAAACCCCCGATATATTGCAATCGGTCCGGAGCGCTAAAGCCAGCGGCTCAAGCGCCAGTACAAAAAGCGCCGGGGACAAAGGGCAGCCCTGTCTCGTCCCTCGCCCAATAGGAAAGGGGTTTGAAAAATATCCAGCATATTTAACGGAGGCCGAAGGAGACGAATACAAGGCTTGAATCCAAGAAAGGATAGAATCCCCAAAACCCCAACGAGACAGCACAAACCGCAGATATTCCCAGGATAGAGAGTCAAAAGCTTTATATATGTCTAAGGACAGTAAGAATCCCGGGATTTTCCGCTGTTGCAGAAGATGTATAAGATGGACCACCTTACGAACGTTATCACCCGCCTGCCTCCCAGGGATAAACCCCACTTGGTCCCTGTGGACCAGGCTACGCAAATAGTTATTGATGCGAGAGCTAAGAATCTTGCCCAATATCTTCAGGTCTTCATTAAGAAGAGAAATGGGCCGAAAGGCTTGCGGTTCCTGTACATCCTCGTTCGTCTTAGGAATCATGGCTATATGTGCTCTAAGCGCGTCCGGGGAGGGCAAGGAGCCCTGTCGTAACTCATTGAAATAGGCAGCCAAGAAGGGTGCCAATAGGACCGAGAATTTCTTATAATAGAGACCGGAGTAGCCATCAGGACCCGGGGCCGCGGTGGACCTCAAAGATTTGATGGCTTGGAGCACTTCCGGTACGGTAACACAGGCATTGAGGGCCACCTGTGCCGCCTCGGATAATCCCGGAAGACGAAGATCTTGAAAAAATGCCTCTGCCTGAGACACAGGGAAGGGATCAGGCGTAGTGTAAAGGCGCGAAAGGAAGTCCGAAAATCGGGAAACAATCTGACGGGGATTAGAAGTACATCCACCTGTGGGAAGTCGCAGTCGGATTGGTTTATGGGGTTTCCCCACGGAATTGAGCTTCCTAGCCAGCATCGGGCCCGGTTTATTTGATTGGATTATTTTTAATTTTGTCTTTGTAATAATGTCAGGGATAAAAGAATAAGCAATTATAAAAGGAAAAAGGTAACTGCGTTCATTGTAGTCCACACAAAACTGATATAACGGTTTTGAAAAATGTTGCAGAGGTAAACCACATGACAATTTCTTATCCCACTTTGAACTTTGTTGGGGAGATATGTGAGACAATCCATGCTTCTTTCTGGATTTTTTTCTTATTTATTTCATGGAGAATGTACCATGAGGATCTGGAACACGTATAGATGGGCAGGAGCAACCCAAATTCCCAGTTGGACAACTAACAGCAGAGAAATCTCCCTAACTGAGTTTCCAAACCATATAAGAAACTCAACCCATTATGCCCCACCTATCCTTAAAATATCACTTTTTGTTGGACTGACCCTATTAGAAATAAAATCCTGCTTATATTAGTCTCTGCAGTACAAAAGCTTAAATACAACACTTACTATTAATTTTTTTTATTGATATGCAGTAGTATAATCTGCAGCCTTGTATTGAGAATATTGAATTTGTGAATCCTAATATTTTCATAATAGATGTGACAGTTTTTCATATTGATCCTGTTGATAATTCTACAGTGTTGCCATCTACACCAGTCACACCATCACCTACAGTGTCTAATAAGCCATTTGCTGGGACCAATAACCCAGAAGAAGCAACCAGAATCCTTGCAGAAAAAAGGAGACTTGCTCGAGAACAACGGGAGCGAGAAGACGAGGAAAAGAGGGAAAAAGAGGAGGAAGAACGGTAAATATTATTACGCTACTTTGACATCAGTGGATTAAACATGAATGTGATCTGAAAAAATGGCATATATTGTATTGGATTTGCAAACATTTTAACTATACTGTATATACTAATTAACATCATTTTGTAGGAAAAAGAAGGAGGAATTGGCTCGGCGGAAAGCTGAGGAGAGAGCTAAACGAGAAGAGGAGGCACGACAGCAGGAAGAAGAAAGAAAACTGAAGGAGGAAAAGGAGCTCCAGGAAAGGGAAAAGGTTCTTAAACAGCAGGCAGAGGAGAGAGAACTGAGGGAACGCGAGGAAGCAGAGCGTCTGCAGAAACAAGTATGTCCCAGCTGCAGGCACTCTAAAGTTGGATAGTTTCATACTGTGTTACTACTACCAGGGTCGGACTGACAACTCATGGGGCCCCGGGCAATAGGGGATCATGGGGCCCCTGTGTCCTCACCCACACTCAAAGCACACTCAAAAAAGCCTATAAAAAAGGTAACGGGCAATTCATGGAGCCAACTACTGACCCCGGGCCCTCGGGCAGTGCCCGAGTGCTTGAATGGTCAGTCCGCCCCTGACTACTACAGAATAACACCAAGGTGTAGCAGGTTTATTGCCTCCAGTATTTGTTGTAGTAGTTGTGACAATGAGGATCCTTGATGTTTGATGGTAGAACCCAGATGTAAGCTGGAGTCTCTCAGAGGTATAAGAAGTTAGTGGGTGAATAAAATTGAGTCGTCTGAATATTACCTATGTTACAATGACAGAAATAGTACAAACAAGTGCTGAATGGCATGTTTGCCCCTTCTTCTCTACTTCAACTTTACGGACATCAAATGAAGTAATAGAGATAAGTCAAATAAATATCAAAAACCTGTAATTGCATATGGTTGGGTTTAGGCTATGAGTGCTGCCAGGTGATCACGCTTAAAGGATAAGTTCACCTTTTGGACAAAAAATAATAAACGCACATTTTTTGCAGGTAAAAAAATGAAATGTGCCTGGAAAGCATTGCACCAGTGATCAGTAGATTGCTAATGCCATGCAGATCTCCTGCAGACCTGTCAGAATATCTACTTGCTGTACGGGATGTACGGCCAAGGAGATATTCTGACTGGGAGCTTCAATTAACTACCACGGTGTTCTACAGAGCTGTGGTAGTTCAATGAAAGCTACAAGCCCACAGCCGCTAAGGCTGTCAGGACTTGCAGCTCTTTCAGTCCCGGAAATCCGTAAATGAATGCCGTGTGGGCCGTGCTGTTTTAAAATTTGACAGATAGTATGAGAAAACTTCTACATATTAACGGCGGGCGCAGCTGCAGCATTGGGAACATGTTACATGTTTCACCCTAAAAACAGGCGGAACATGTAACATGTTCCTAAAGGTAAAATTATCCTTTAAACACCTTTGAAACCGATAAGGGCCCATGCACACTGGGCTTAAAATAACACTTCTGCTACAGGAGTTTTGCTTGTAGAAGCAGCTCTATGTTATCATATGTGTCCATGCACAATAAGATGTTTAGCGGCATATTTTAAGCTCAACATTTAGAGGCAGAAAAAAAAAATCTTCTGGTTTGCATTTTTGAGAGGAGTTTTCTGGCAGAAAAAAAGCTAAATGCTCCCAAACACCTGTGCAAAAATGCTTTATATGCCAAAAGCACTGATGGCTTTTTAAGACCAGTGTGCATGAACCCTAAAGAGAATTTATGTTATGCACGAATGTTACATTCACTATTATGTTATATGAAAATTTGCACTAAAGCTGGTTTTGAAACATATTCCCAGACACATATTATATCCAAATGTTACTATCTACTGTATATGTCTTTCTTTTACTAATATTTAATACATGACAAAGGATTCCCAGAGCACCATAGCTGAAGATACAGCACAACTGATGCTGCCTGCTTTAAGCTATGATTTGGCTGACTGAATATTTACTCTTAGCAATCTGGTAAGGGACAAGTCATTTTTCTGTCCAATCATTTATTGGTGTGTGTAAATTTCAGTTAGAGGTATTGAGTTACTTAAAGTGTTACTAAACCCACAACAGTAAAATCAGTCTGTATATGCAGTAAAACATACTTGCTATACTCAAACTGGAACTTAAGGGGTTAATCCTATGCATTGTGTAAAAAGGGTGTTTGATCATGTCTTCTCTGATCCTCCCCTTCTTCAGCCGTTCTCCATTTCATCTCCTGATAGAACAGAGCCTCGGGACACTCTGCTCAGGCTCAGTTTGGTGTGTACTGCTAGAGAGTTTTTACTTTTCTTGGGAGGGTGCATGTGATCAGCACAGGGCCAATCAGCACTGTCCAGACAGAGGGTCAGAGGTTATTTAAAAAAATCATAGGGCAGTGAGAGGAGAAAGGAAACTCCTCTTTCAAGCTTTAACCAACACTGATAGAAGTCACAAGACTGCTCTAACATCTAAAGAGAAAATGTATTTAGCAGTTTATATTTACTAAAATAATTGCATTTCCATATTCTGTGTGCTGCGTGAGACCAGATATAGTGAATGCAGGGTCCTGGGTTTAGTAACACTTTAAAGAGGCTATATGTCAAAAAACGAACTGAGAGACTAGAAAACATTAAACAGCCTTAAGCTCCACCTGTTGGCTCAAAAGGAAACGTGTACAAAACAGTTTTACATTCCCTAAAATGTTTTTTAATGATTCCATAACTGGATTAAATGGTGGCATGTTATATTTGTCCACAATTTAGGTTTAAGTCAATATTGACTCTAAAATGGAACCACAATTATTTAATTTGCAGTTCAGGAAAATTGTTTTTTATTTTAATAAATATAACACACAGATTAGAATTCTTTGTAAAGGTTTACAAGCTTTCATCCCACTGGACTGAAGAGGGTGATTAACCAAATTCTTATTGTTGAAGGATTGACCAGCTCATTTCATGTTTAACTAGAAAACCGCAAAATTTTGGGAGGATAAAAAGAAAAATAGGCTTCAAATGCTACTCACAAAATGTGGTAGATACATCAGATAGATAGATCAGAGGGAAAAGAAGACTACATCCTTTTTTTAGGATAATTTTCACACTTAAATGCTTCAGATCATTAAAGAAATTTTAATATTTCACAAAGATAATACGAGTAAATGCAAAATGCAGTTTTTAAATGATGATTTAATTTATTAAGGGAAAAAGCTGTCCAAACCTTAACGGCATGTTTAAGGTAATAGCACAGCTTCTCAATCGGATTTAAGTCTGGACTTTGACTAGGCCACTTCAAAATCTTAATTATGCTTTTTTGCGCCATTCAGAGGTGGACTTTCTGGTGTTTTGGATCATTGTCCTGCTGCATAACTTAAGTGCTTTTGAGCTTGAGGTCATGAACTGATGGCTGGAAATTCTTCTTCTGGATTTTCTGATAGAGCAGAGAATTCACAGTTCCATCAATTATAGCAAGCTGTCCAGGTCCTGAAGCTGCAAAGCAGCCCCAGACCATCACACTACCACCACCATGTTTCACTGTTGGTATGATGTTCTTTTTATAAAGCGCTGTGTTAGTTTTACACCAGATGTAACGGGACGCACACCTTCCAAAAAGTTAAAATTTTTGTCTCATCAGTTCACAGAATATTTGCCCACCAGTCTTGGAGATAATCAAGATGTTTTTTGGCAAATGTGAGATGAGCCTTTGTGTTCTTTTTGGTCAGCAGTGGCTTTCATCTTGGAACTCTCCCATTGATTCCATTTTTTTCCCAGTCTCTTTCTTATTGTTGAATCATGAACATTCATCTTAACTGAGGCAAGTGAGGCCTGCAGTTCTTTAGATGTTGTTCTGGGTTCTGTTATGACGACCTGGATGAGTCGCTATTGTGCTTTTGGTAGGTCAGCCACTGTTCCAAGTTTTCTCCATTTGTGGATAATGGCTCTCACCATTTGCTGGAGTCCCAAAGCCTTAGAAATGGCTTTGTAATCCTTTTGCAGACTGATACATGTCAATTACTTTGTTTCTCATCTGTTCTTGAATTTCTTTAGATCACGGCATGATGTGTTGATTTTTTAGATTTTTTAGTGTGCTTCACTTTGTCAGATAGCTTCTGTTTAAGTGATTTCTTGATTCAGCAAGTCTGGCAGTAATCAGGCCTGGGTGTGGCAAGTGAAATTTAACTCAGCTTTCAAGTGTGACAAATACGCAGAAAAATCAGGAAGGGGGCAAATACTTTTTCACATCACTGTACCCATGCTTAGTGCATTTACTACTTTGTGATTTTGGATTAATGATTTGATATTTAATACATACACGGTGGTAGTGGTGATTGTTTGGATGTAGTGAAGGGTTTTAATAAGTAATGAAATATGTATACCAATGTAATGTATACTTCAATATATAGTATAATTTTATTTCTGTACAAACAAAAACTAGCCAAATTGTAATTGTCTCTTTATAATTGAATTAGAAAAAAGAAGCAGATCGTATAAGATTAGAACGTGAGAAACATTTCCAAAAAGAGGAACAAGAACGCTCTGAGAGGAAGAAGGTAAGCAGTGATTTTGATCCTCGTGTCAATAACATGATTCTTAAGGCTGCTTTCACATTGCTCTGCTGTTGAAATGAGGTAAAACCGCATATGCGGTTTTACTGAGTTTTTTTACCCCTTTTTCCTCATTATGATGTGTTTTGCAACTGTGAAAAAAGAACACGTGACTCCAAAAACCCAAGTACAGATACACTTATGTGGCATTTTGGCCACCTTTTCCATCATTTCAATGGGCAGGTGTGTTTTTGATGCATGTTTTTTTTTACCGCACCAAACATACCAAAAATGCAGCAAGCAGGACTTTTGAAAATGCATCTAATTTGCAGTTGAAGTGCTCCATAGGATTTAATGGTCATTGGTAATTGGTAAGGCAGAAACTGATCAGTGTGAAAGCAGCCTAAAGCTGAAGTTTAGTCAAAAAATGATTTTGCTCCTATAAGCAGAAGTCACATCACTTTCCTGTCATGAAATATGTCACACGTTTGTCACGCAGCTGGATCCTGTAGAAGTCTTCTGTGCAGTGATGACAGGCCCTCTTCCTGCTGCTGAACTTTCAAAGCTGAGGGAGTTCCCAGCTCCCAGTCCTCTAAGTTGCAGTGAAAAAAGACAAAGGCAGCCCTACCTACCTTCTTCCCTCATTCTTCCATTGAGAGAAGCTTGTATATTGATTATACTGCTTGTAGCACAATCTCTGAATGGGAGAGTGAATCTAATCCTGCATGAAAGCCTCCCCCATTCACTTATAGCTATTAAATGGGTTGTAACGGCAGAAGATTTTTTACCTTACTTCATAGTAGAGAGCCGGTGACTGACAGTCACTGCAGTCTGCTCAGAGTGGAAAGGAAGGAGAACTGAGTGATTAGCAGTATTTGATTGCTCTGTTCTTAGGGTAGAGCTGGTGGGGGACAGCTGCAGCCAGCTAGGTGAGTATGATTTTTTTTCTTCCCTTTAAACTCCTTCACGCTAGAACTTGCAGCAGCAGGAAGAAGACCTGTCATCAAAAAAATTACTTTTTGAGTAAATTTCATCTTCAATATCTGAGGATGAGAAAAGAATATTTATTAATATATATATATATTTTAATAATTCATTGAGGGACATAGGAATGTAGCAATTCTTAGACATTTGTGTTACATTCTGCCTCCTAAAAGAGGTTTAGTCACTGGCTGAAAAACTGTGAAGGTCATCCCCATTTATCGTCATGTCTTTTTTGCTAGTGTCCTAGGAGGTTGGATGCCATTTCCTCAGCTGTGCTTTGAAAAAGCCTTTTTAACCTTATTTTTTTTTTTTTGTCAAGATCCTTTGTATACTGTAAATATTTGTTGCTTTTAGGGCATCAATCAAAACTACCATGAAAGCTGCGTGAGCTGGTCTATACACAGCAGCTATTCAGATTGGTCTATCCTCAGCAACAGCTTTGGAGGCCATATCTGAACCCTGCTGGACTGGAATGTAACTTTCGGGCTTTGGCATTGGGGTGCTTTTCAGACCATTGTGTGCTATGTTCGTTAACTGCAGAGTGCTCTCCCATTCTAGAGACCTGGCACAGCCTCTGGAGTGATCCATTTTCTGAAGACTTGTGTAGAAAGTATGTTTCTGGGCGTGGTGAAGCTAGCCTGGAATGTGACCCTCAGTTTCTGGACACTGCATTGTGGTGCTTTCCAGATCTCCATGTACTGTGTTAGATGCAGAGTACTTTCAGGATCAACAGCCATGGCACAGCCTGGATGGTGAGCCAATCTCTGAAAGCTCTCCTAGTGAGCAAGGCTGGTATGGTTGAAGCAATATGGGCTGTCTCACAGTTGGTACCCTTGGGTGCCATCTTTAAAATTTCCCAACTCCACCATTTTCATCAAAAATCACAAAATCGTGTGTTTTTTGCCACAAATCCAAATCGCCTATATGTGGACGGGGCCCCTGAGTCCCCTGCTATACCTGCTGTTGGGAATTTCCTCTATGCAGACTGATAATTCCCTCAAAAGTCCTGGACCCATAGCAGTCTCGCATGTAACTCAGGGAGGATCTCATGTGCTACAGTATTTCTTCTTCGGCTGCTGAGGGATCAAGGCGGCGCTCACAGAGAGCTTCTCCTTCCTCTGACCCTGGATACCAGAATGACAGCTCCTCTACAGGATGTGGCTCACGTGAGTGTTCTCTCTGCACTTTCTGGATTTTTTTCCTAGCCCTAACAGGCCTCCTTTACAGGCTGCAATCCTTTCTCTGGGCCACGACTCCCACACTTCCTCCATGCTAGACAGGGAGATGGCGGACATTTTCATTAGTCAATCAGGCAGGCAATATTCCACTCTAGATGGTCCTGTGGACTCTCCTGTCCTTCCTCCTGCAGTCCCACACTATTCTGGTGATTCCATACTTATTGCACGTTTTGCTGATTTACTGCAGCGGGAATTAGATAAAGCTACCACTAAATTGGCCTCTGACCTGAAACAGGATTTTTGGGAATTGGGGGATTGCCTCAAGAAGATTGAATCATCAAAGTTCATAACACAGTCCACAGAGTGACTCAAAATTCTAGCATGATTGCCAATTTACAGGATCGCTTAGATAACACTTAGAATAAAATTGATGATCTTGAGAATCGGGTCAGATGGGGCAACTTCAGAATTAGAGGTCTCCCAAAACAGTAAAAGATATTGAACCCCTTCCCTTATTCATTCAGCGGATCCGAAAATTGATGACATTCATCTGAAAATAGATCGTGTCCACAGGGCCTTGGCCTCGGGCATAATCGTGAAAACCGCATTTTTTCACAGTTAAAGAATCAGTGATGCGTTACGCTAGGGAACATCCAGATCTAGAAGTGGAGGGACACCGGATTCAAGTTTTCACAGACATCTCTCAAACTACCATCCAAAAGAAAAGGGCCTTCAAACCACTACTCTCACCGTTGATCCAGAGGGATATTCGCTATCGATGGAATTATCCGTTTCGTTTGCAATTTCTTTATAATGGCAAATCCTTTTATGTTCTCTGAGGGGGAAAGACTTCTGCTGAATTTGGGTTTTATCTCCCTTAGTCCTGCCTCTCGGAACCTGCCCAAAACTAATGGACCCCCCCACTATCACCTCTGTGGTCTCCGGCCCCCAGGAAGAAATTCGCTGCTGCAACATTACACCGGGTGCCTTGAAGTCTTGGTTCATTAATGTGTGTTCATTTTCTGACGGAGGTCTCTCAGTGGCCCCATTGTGGGGCATTGGCCTCTGTACGCAAACTGGTTGCTGATTCTTTTTGCTATATTTTGGTAACATATTCTGGTGGCTTTAAAAGTTTTCTGGATGTTACATGTAGACCCCGGGATGCCGGGAAACGTCTATGCATACTCCCTATTTCAAAGACTATCTCCATTGTTTGACTTTGTGGAGACTCTTTCGGTCCTTGACCTAGCTTCTGAGATATTGGTATTTTGTTATCTTACGTTACGTATTGTTAATCACTCTGCAGTTAGATGCGGGCCTCTCTTCGGCCTTAGCGTCCTTGGTTGCTCTCTTTTCTTCTTTTTCCTTTTCCTACTTTCTTCTCTTTTTTTCTGTCCAAGAGTCATCCTGGGAATTTTGTCCTGCCTCGGGCTGCTTGACAATGTACATGGCTAGGTGGGTTGTCTGATTGTGTTTTTGTCACTTGCTTCCCATGTCTAGCCAAAAACAAGGCTTTGTTATGATCCGATTGCTGTTCCATAACGTCTAAAGGTTGGGCTCCTTTTTTAAGCGACTCAAAATATTCTCCCATTATAAGTCTTTGGGAGCAGATATTGTGGCCTTACAGGAAACACATTTTGCCCCTTCCTTTACTCCCAGATATATTCATAGGAATTTTATGACTTGTTTCTTTGCTAATGCCTCCGAAAAAAAAAGAGAGGGATGGCACTCTGCTTTTCTAAATAGTTATCATTTACTGACACTAAAGTTTTAAGGGATAGGGAGGGATGGTATCTTCTGGTAAAGGGTCATTTAGAGGGTAATATGGTGTCTTTTCTTATCTATTATGCCCCTAATATGAACCAGATGGCCTTTTTCCGTTCTCTTTTCAAGTCTCTGTTTAATGAACTAGAGGGAAATGTGATCTTGGCAGGGGACTCAAATCTGGCCTTAGACCATATCCTCGATAAATCCCATGTAATTAAACTTAAATTGCCTTCTAAGCAAAGCTGTGAATTCGCGCAGCTTTTATATCACTATCACCTAATGGATGCGTGAAGCGAGGCCAATACCACTTCTAGAGACTACTCCCACTTTTCAAGGGCTCATAGTCATTATTCCCGTATAGACCATATTTTCTTCCCCTCAGACACGATCACTAAGTTGCATTCAGCTAAAATTATATTGACAACTTGGTCGGACCATGACCCCTGTACTTGTAACTCTTTCTAATTTGACGGTTAAAATGGTTCAACCACACTAGCGATTAAACGAGTCCTTACTAAGTGATGAAGCCAGTTGCTTGGAAGTGGGTGAACATCTCAAGTCCTATCTTTCAATTAACAAAGCGAAAGACACAAATCCCTCCATTAATTGGCAGCCCATAAAGCCTCCGTTCGAGGTGTTTTTATCTAGCTGTCCTCCAGAATTAAAAAAAATCCTGCGAAGGGTTGATCTCTACCAAATCTAGAGAATATGAATCTTTAGCTGCCCAACATAAAATTACCCGACCTCGGATCTTTTAGCTAGGGTGGAACACGCTCGGCTGGAGCTTAACCTATGCCTTACCACAAAGGCAGAAAAGCAACTGCGTTTGATGAATCATATATATTTCACGTGGAGGGATAGACCGGGTTCTCTTCTTGCACAAAAGCTTACCCCTAAATTTACTAACACAGCACTACCTAAACTCCGGCAGACGGAGGGTACGATCATGCAGGATCCTCTGCAGGTCCTTTGGGAATTTCATGATTTTTATGCTTCTTTATATAGTCCCCCGCAGCCAGCAGAACCCTGTTCTATTCAATCCTTCCTAGAGTCCTTGCCTGTCCTTTCCCTTACTGA